CTCTCCATGGGAATGGGACCTGTGCCAGCCCCAGCGTCTGGACCCTTGGCACAGAGCCCCAGCACCCTGCAGCGAGGGAACTCTGGCTGGCCCCACCTCAGGACGGGAATCCTCTAGTTTGGCAGCCTGGGACTGGTGAGATGGAGGGCTTCTAAGAAGGGGAAGCCAGTGCAAGCTGGGTGGGCTCCCTGAAGGAGGTAGAGGCCTGCAGTGAGGAAAGTCCCTTAAGCAGACTGATGGTTGACGGGAGATGGATAGATAATGGTACTCATAAACACCATCAAACACATTCAGAGCATCTACTTTGCCAGGCTTTGGGTAAATAGTGGGCATTTGTTATCCCGCGGAATCTAAGTGCGTTTTATATGTCATCACATCCAAGAGGCAGGTGATATTTACCTCATTTTCAGATGAAAAGATTGGGGTTCAGAGAGGTGATGCCACAGTACAGAGGTCACACAGCAGGTGCCTTGAAGGGCCTGAAAAGGAACTCTTCAAGAAAGATCTGCGTGGGTCCAAACACTGACTCAGAACCATCACGTGTTAACCTGAAAATCAGAATAACTCATTATTTTTAACAGAACAAGGGGATTCTCCTGTGTAACCCTAATACTAATTTAACATTTCCTCAGTATCAATTTAACATTGATACAAAACTATAGTCTAATTTGTAGTTTATACTTAAATTACCCCCATTGTCTCAATATCATATGTTAACACGGTCTGCTGTCTATCCCGGGTCACACTTTGAATTTAGCTGTCATCTTCTTTAGTCACCTTTACTCTAGAACAGGTGCCAGCTTTTTAATTTTCTTGTTATTGTTTTGGTTTTCATTACACCAACATTTTTGAAGAATACATGCCAACTACTTTATGGAGTGTCCCTCAATTTGGCTTCATCTCATGTTTTCTGATGATTAGACTCAGATGAAACATTTTAGGCAGTAAACCCTCAGAATTTATGTCGTGTCCTTCTCAGTGCATGTTGGGTCGGGAAGCACATGATGTCGACTTGTCCCAATACTGGTGATGTTAATTTCTATCACCTGGTTAAGGCTATGTCTGCCAATACTGTCCACTTGTACTATTTTTTCCGTTTGTAACAAATAAGTAACCTGTAGGAAGATCTTTGAGACTAAATAAATATCCTACTCCTCATCAAACTTCCAATCAACAGTTTAAGCTCCCGTTTATGGTCCTGACTGTCATCTCATGTTTAATATTCCAGGACCATCATAAATCCTAAGAGGCCTGGGTTTCCTGTGACCGCTTGCAATGGGTAGGGTTGGGGGGACTGCACCAAGCTAATGCTGGCCAGAGGAATTAATCTCTGTGGTGGCCTAGGGGGATGAAGGGACTCAAACAGCTCAGAGATTCCCTGAAAATCTGAGGCTGGTAGGCATTCATGCCCCTATCCCATGAATACGTAATGGAAGTCTACTTTGTGCCAGGCACTGTTCTAGGCCCTGACGCACATCAGTGAGCAAAAGAGATTGAATCGCGGCCCTCCTGGAGCTGACAGGAATGTGGGAGCATTGAAGTAACAAACAGACATACATATTTCATAGTGGCAAGCTGTATGGAAAAGCAAGCGGACGGGAGAGAGAGTAACAGGGTATCTGTCCCTGATAAGGCGATCCTGCTCCCTCTCCATCTCATCTACCTTCCTGGGGGTCTCCCCGCCTGTCATCTGCCAGAAACTCTGGCTCAGCCAAGTGCACTTGCAGGCGCCATCTGCTCTCCATGGGAATGGGACCTGTGCCAGCCCCAGCGTCTGGACCCTTGGCACAGAGCCCCAGCACCCTGCAGCGAGGGAACTCTGGCTGGCCCCACCTCAGGACGGGAATCCTCTAGTTTGGCAGCCTGGGACTGGTGAGATGGAGGGCTTCTAAGAAGGGGAAGCCAGTGCAAGCTGGGTGGGCTCCCTGAAGGAGGTAGAGGCCTGCAGTGAGGAAAGTCCCTTAAGCAGACTGATGGTTGACGGGAGATGGATAGATAATGGTACTCATAAACACCATCAAACACATTCAGAGCATCTACTTTGCCAGGCTTTGGGTAAATAGTGGGCATTTGTTATCCCGCGGAATCTAAGTGCGTTTTATATGTCATCACATCCAAGAGGCAGGTGATATTTACCTCATTTTCAGATGAAAAGATTGGGGTTCAGAGAGGTGATGCCACAGTACAGAGGTCACACAGCAGGTGCCTTGAAGGGCCTGAAAAGGAACTCTTCAAGAAAGATCTGCGTGGGTCCAAACACTGACTCAGAACCATCACGTGTTAACCTGAAAATCAGCACAGCATCCCACCCCCTGCTCCTTCCCACTTCTTTCCCAGGAAGCCTTCACCCCACCTTCTGCCCCACCTCCGCCCCAGATTTCCCCCCTCCCTTTGGGCCAGCAAGAAACAGCTCTGGGTCACAATCTGCTGCTCTTAGCTCCAGTTGCTTACCTTGGCCAAGTAAGCGCACAGCTCTGAGCCTCAGTTTCTTCATCTGCAAAATAGGGCTAGAAATAGAGCTACTAAAAGGAACCAGCGCGAGGATGACGTAAAGCCTCTAGCCCTGGGGCTGGGCCCTCTGAGCTCAGGGAACTGGAAGCGAGCCCTTAGGCAAGCAGCTAAACTCTCTGCGCCTGTTTCCTCCGGGGAGCAGGACAGAAAGCGATAACGCCTCTCCGATCCTTGAGGAATAAATGTGTACGCGCACGTGCAGAGCACTGAGCCGGGCGCACAGCTAGCCGCTGTTGCTGTTATTGTTGGACAAACAGGGTGGTGGCGTGGAGGCGGGGCCAAGCCGGCAAAGCCCTGGAGAATCGGGGCGCCACCTCCTACACCCTGCCGCTCAGGAGCCTGGGCTCGGGGGAGTCAGGGCCCGCTGTGATCCGAGACCCCGGCCAGCTCCTGCACACGCGGGGTGGCTGGGTCCCGCTTGGGGCGGTGACTTCGGCCTTCAAGGCCCACTCCCCGGCCGCCGGGGGCGGAGCCCGGAGCCCGCCCCCTTCCCCGCCCCCGCTCGCTGCGGGCCCGGAGAGCGGAGAGCAGAGCCCTCGGAGCGCGCAGACCCAGCTCCAGTGGAAGCGCGGGGCTCAGAGGTCCCGGCATACGAGAGTGGGTACTGAGTGAGGGGCGCAGGTGAGGGCACTGACCCTTCCCCGGGTTCTGGTGTTGGGATGGGGAGGCAAACCCTTGGCGGGGAAATCGGCTCCAGCCAGGTATGGAGTGAGGGCTGGAGGCTTGGGGGCTCCCCAGGGTGATCGTGTGGCAAGAATATACCTGTGGTTGAGTGGGTAGGTGTGTGGTGGGTTAGGGATGTTACAGGGAGTTGTGCAAAGGTGGGTCCTGTTAAAAACAGAGGTGTCGGGGAGCTGGTGGGTGTGCAGGGAGTTGTGTGGGTCATGGGTGTACGTGGAGTAGGGGAGGGTGCGTGCGTGGACCGCGTGTTTGGGGCAGGTGTGCCAAGGAAGTGACGGGAGCAAGGGAGAGCGTCCCCAGGTGCGTGTGAAGGAAGCCTGTGCATATGTGTGTGCGTGGGGGAACCTGATGTTGGGGCATTAGGAGTGTGCAAGGAGTCACTTGGCATGAATATATAAGAAGGTTGGGTGCTCCAGAGGGGTGTTTCTGGAAGCTGATGCTGTTTGGGGCAAGTATGCAAGGAGATGAATGCGCAGAGGGGAGGCAGGTGTTGGGCCCTGCCCTGGTGTGTGGCAGGGAACTTGGGTATTCAGAGAGTGCAGGCTTGGGGGACACAGAAGTGTGTCGGCTACAGTGAAGTGCAGAGCATCACTGAGGATGCGTGAGGGAACAGGTATGTGAACTCAGGATAGGTGTGTAGCTCACGGGGCAAGTGTGTAAGAGGCTATGGAATAAGTGTGCAACACTTGTGTGGTTTTTTTTGTATCATTAATGTACAATAACATGAGCAACATTATAGTTACTAGACTCCCCCCATCAAGTCCCCACCACATACCCCATTACAATCACTGTCCATCACTTGTCTTCTCTGTTATATTGCCTTCCCCATGCCCCACCCCACATTATGTGTGCGGATCATAATGCTCCGTTTTCCCCCTTCTCCCTCCCTTCCCACCCAACCTCCCCAGTCCCTTTCCCTTTGGTAACCATTAGTCCATTCTTGGGTTCTGTGATTCTGCCGCTGTTTTGTTCCTTCAGTTTTTTTTCTTTGTTCTTATACTCCACATATTAGTGAAATCATTTGGTACTTGTCTTTCTCTGCCTGGCTTATTTCACTGAGCATAACACCCTCTAGCTCCATCCATGTTGTTGCAAATGGTAGGATTTGTTTTCTTCTTATGGCTGAATAATATTCCATTGTGTATGTGTACCACATCTTCTTTATCCATTCATCTACTGATAGACACTTAGGTTCCTTCCATTTCTTGGCTATTGTAAATAGTGCTGTGATAAACATAGGGGTGCATATGTCTTTTTCAAACTGGGCTCCTGCATTCTTAGGGTAAATTCCTAGGAGTGGAATTCCTGGGTCAAATGGTATTTCTATTTTTAGTTTTTTGAGGAACCTCCACATTCCTTTCCACAATGGTTGAACTAATTTACATTCCCACCAGCAGTGTGGGAGGGTTCCCCTTTCTCCACATCCTCACCAACACTTGTTGTCTTTTGGATGGTGGCCATCCTAAGTGATGTGAGGTGATGTCTCAGTATAGTTTTAATTTTCATTTCTCTGATGATTAGCGATGTGGAGCATCTTTTCATGTGCCTGTTGGCCATCTGAATGTCTGGTATGTGGCTTTTGTCTGAGGAGAGAGAACCCCAGAACTGAATGTCCAGACCCCTGAGTTCTCTTCACAATTTGGGCCAGCCTCTTTTACTCTCTAGGCCTCCATTTTACTATCTGTAGAGTGGGTCTGAGCGTCTTTGAATTAACTAGTCTCTGCCTGGAGTCTCTCCAGAATCAGGTGTCAGGGGAAGGAGGAAGGTGAGACTTAACAACTGGTCTTTCTTTCCCTTACATCCAGTAAACCACTCCGGAGCTTCTCCCCAGCCATGGACAGCCCAGTCTTCAAGCGCTCCAACAGCCTCTGCTGGCAGGTGTGGGCTGCGAGGCCCCAGACCAGAAGCCTGGCGAGCCTGAATGAGGGTCCCCCTTTTGAGGGACAATGTTTGCCGAATCCTTGAGGGGTTGGCATTTCCTACCACCACCTCTTCCCTCTGTGAGAGCTGGTCTGAGGGAGCCAGGACCCCCTGATCTTGAAGTAGGAGCAGCAGACCTCAGTTGGAGTCGGGGGTAGGGGGGCTGGAGGTGAATCCTGCTGGGAGGGCCATCTGGTGGGCTGGTCGCTGGGGCATCTGCCTTTGGCCCGGAGTGTCACTTCACAACTGGATGTGTGGGCTTCCTTGATTTCCACTTGCAATTTTTCCTCTTTACATTTCGGCTGGTTTCTTGACCTCTGTATCTCCAGATTTGTCTCATTTTTGTTCTCTTGCCTTTGGCTGTCTTCCCTTTGATTTTGGACTCCCCTGGTCTCTGTCTGTCCATCTCCCTCTAGGGCCAATGCACCTCTGGCCTTTGTTGGCCCTGGTCTCTTTTTTTTTCCAATTGTCACTTTTTGTAATTTCTCATTCCTCATACACATTGTCAAGCTTGCCTTTTATTTTTTTAAACATGGCTTTCTGATTACAATTGCTGTATACAAAATCATCCTGAAACTTAGTAGCTTAAAACAACAATTGTTATTATCACATGTGGTTTCCATGGGCCAGGCATTTGGGAATTGGGAAGGACGCAGCTGGGTGGTTCTGCCCTCTGGGTCTTTCATGAGGTTGCCATCAGCCAGTGGCTAGAGCTGAAACAGGGGCTGAAGCAGCCGGGGGCTGGCTGGGTCTCTCTCTTCGTGTAGTCTCTGGGCTTCTTCTTGGGTTACCCCACGCGGGCTGGTTTGGGCCTTCTCACGGCACGGCAGCTTCAGGACAGACTCCTTCGAGGCCTCAGCCTCCAGGATGTGTTGCGGCGAAGCAGAACCTGCCTCACCTTTTCTGACTTATGCTCGGAAATCATGTGGCATTACTTCCACTAGTCTATCAATTATGAGTCATGGCCTGCCCTGACTCAAGGAGAGGGGACACAGACCTCACCCCTAGATGGGAAAAGTATCAGTCACACTGTCAGAAGGGCATGTGGGGTGGGAGAGAGTGTTGTGGTTATTTTTGGAAACAGCTTGCCACTGTGTGCCAGTAAGCCTGCTTCCACATTGTGTGTGTGAGAGAATTCCACTGTTTGAGGACTTCGAGAACCTGATTTCTACTAGTTCTTATTCACGGTTCCTTGTATGCCTGGTTATCTTTAGCTGTATGCTGGTCATTGTATTAAGAAAGTTATTTTTAGGGAAAATTATTTTGAGGCCTAGAGTGGGTAGCTTTCTCCAGATAGGATTTGGCTTACATCTGTCAGCTGCACGCGGCACTACCAGTTTGAGATCATCTTGGATCGAATCCGAGATTTAAGAGAGGCCTTCCCTGTTCTTTTGACCGCTCTTGTTAATTTGGGATTTTCTTTTCGGCTTTACATTAGTCCCTTAAAATATTGTAAGTTATGTGATGAGGATTTAAAAAATTAGTTATCTAGAAGGCAGATTTGTCCTGGTAATTTAGGCCACCACGGCTCTCTCTCCTAATCTCCCATTTTTTTTACTGTTTTCTGACCATGTTGGTGTGTATCTCCACTTTAGAGGCTTTTAACTGAGATTGTAAGCATTGTAGTACCCAAGATTGGACCCGGGAATTCCTTGAAATTGAACTCAAAATTTTGGGTATGGGTGGGGGCTCTTCTTTGGAAACAAGGCCTACAGCTTCCACAAAAAGGAATCCAGGATGTAGAAAAAAAGTGTCTCCTGTAATATTTTTCTCTCTTGGTGTCTCTGGGGGCTGTGGGGAACAGGACAGTGGGCACAGATGCCCACCCAGGCCTTCTCCCACCCACAGGACATGTCGTCCAGTGACAGCGAGCGACTCAGGCTGGGATGGGGGCAGCCTTCTCTCCCCGCCGACCACCTGGGCTTGGCTATCTTCTCCATGCTGTGCTGTGTCTGGCCTGTGGGCATCGCTGCCTCCTGCCTGGCTCACGTCAGTCTGTGGGCGGGGCTGGGAGGGGACCGATATGAGCAAAACGTATTCAGAACAAAAGGAAAATCATAAAAGCCATGCTGGGCAGGGGTGGGGGAAAGACGGAGGGGATTTGCTGGAAACGTTCAGGGGTAAAATGAAGTGTCACCCAGAGCAGCGCTGAAGGACCTGAACTCAAATCCTAGGTCCGCCACTGGAGATTTTTGCGCAAGCCACTTAATCTCCCTGTGCTTCATTTTCCATCTGTAAAATGGGGGTAATTCCTACCTCAGGGTCACTGTGAGGATCAAATGAGGACAGTGTCATGTAGTGTGCACTTACGTTTATTCGTCCCCCAGTATCCCCTCTGCCTGACCCACAGTAGCAGCTCGCCATTTGTTTTTGGAATATATGAATGCGAGGGTGTGCCGGCTCTGGGAGGTAACAGAAGGGTCTGGGGCTGTGGGAAGCAGGGTGGGATGAGGGGACGCCTGAGTCACTGCTGCCCACCGCCTCCACAGACGAACGAGGCGTGGGCCAAGGGGGACGTCTGGGGGGCAGGGGCCACCTCCCGCTGCGCCTTCCTGCTGGGGTCATGGCCATCAGGCTGGGCTGGTGCACTTATGTGGCTGCCCTGGTGACCCTGGCCACCTGCCTTGCCTCTCAGGACCCGCCCTAGCTGCCCCCGCCCCTCAGTGTGAACCCAGAGGCAGCAGCACATCCAGGGGTAGAGGGGAGAATCCGGCAGGTGCAGGAGGCGGCAGGGGTGGCATGGCATCCAGAATCGGGAGTGACACGGCAATCCCTTCCCTCCACCCGGCTGCTGCAACATGAGATTAAACACCACACACTCCTGCAGCCCTGTCTGTCTGCATGTGGGGGGAAAGATAGAGGGCGCTGGGGTTGCCTGAGACCAGGAAGGAACAAGCCAGGGCGATAGGCTGTCCCCAAGAAGCTCCCAGACACCTCAAAGCTGGAGATGGGGGATTCAGAGCGGAGGACGAATTCCAAATTGCAGAATGTTCTCTGCATAGTGTGGGGCGTCGGTGGAGAATGAAAGGTGGGTTCCAAGTCCTGGGTGTCAGCTGCATACCAGCGGCCCAAGTAAGTTCTCTTTGAGCCTCACTTTTTCTCATCTGCGAAGTGGGGCTGCTTTTCTCTGAGCTGTGGTGAGGGCCCAGTGGGTCACACATGAAAAGGCAGCCTCCCTCTGAGCTCTGGAGCTCAACTCTGACGGCTCTACGCAACCAAAGGGGGGCAGACTTGGGACCACGGGCTCAAATGACAGGAAAGCTCTAGTCTCCATGCTGTGGCCCCCTTTCCTCTGCTGGCTCCGTCCTGTGCAGGTTCCCACTCCTGACGGAGGACAATGGTGCAGGCACCCAAGAACCTGTCTCAGGAGCCCCAGTGGGAGGCAGCCCTTTGGGAACCAGATGGGCCGAGCCTGAGAGGGCAGAACAGGAGCAGCTCACTAAGTGGGGCCTGAGGCCACCAAGCAATGCAGTGACAGGCGGTTTGGCTCACTCAGCTTAGGGCCCTTCTGGCGCACCTTCCTGGAAAAAAGCGCTCCTCCCATGTGGCCTCCTAAGCGTCTCATGGAGCATCACTTCCTATCCATATTTATGCCTTTCCTTCTTGGCTACTGGGGATGAAAATGACACCTGCCCAAAGGGGCGTCTGTGGGAACTGGGTGAGCTGGTTCAGGACGTGAAGCATGCAGCAGGCCTATCAGGCGTGTCGTTTTCATCATAAACCCCCAAACATCAGCGGCCCACAAGAGATGGGGACCATGTGGCTCAGCTGTGGGACAGTCACTCCTTGTGGGATGCTTGCATGTTCTGGGCTCCTGGCCAAGAGGTGGGGGGTGGAGGGAGTCAAATGGCAACTAAAAGTGCATCCACCTGGTATTTCCATAGGCCCCTCAAGGCGTGCTGACACCCTGGGCTGAGAACCAACACGCCTTGGCCATCTCCACTTACAGGTGGCGGGTCACGAGTGTGCTGGCATCTCCTCAGGTTGAGCAGCGAGGGCCCTGGGACTGGACTGAGCAGGACCCTGGCTCCACCAACTGGCTGGTGGCCTCCTGCACCAACTGGCTTCCAAGTCGGTTTCTTCATCTTTAAAAAGGGACCATAACCACCTCACCTCGAGGGGTTGTGGGCCGGCTGTGGCAGCACTGAGCCAGGCTCCTCGCCAAGGCTCCGTGTGCTGTGCCCACTTCCTCCCAGACCCCTCGTCTCTCACGTGCTTTGCTAGTCACACTGGCCTCCTGGCTGATCCTTGACGCTCTGCAGCTCAACCCCTGGCTGCCTCCTGGGCTTCCCACGGATGCACCCCTCTCCGTGAGCACATCCCTGACTGATGCGTCAGGTGTGCCCTTCCCAAGCCCCTCTTCCTGCTGTTTGTTTGTAATATTTATCACTACCGGGCAAACACCAATTTTTGGTTCATTGCCCACTGCTCCTCAGCCCTGGGCTCTGGGTCCCAGCCACCGCCAAGTCCTCAGCACCCCACAAGGCCTGCACACAGGGGGCTCAGTAGATATTTCTCAGGCTGAATGGATTCATTCAGTGCATGCGCAATCCTTGTAGTGCCTCCCTGGGGCAGCCGGGGTCTGTGACCCCAGGCTCAGGGGCCCCTGCAGCTGCAGGACCACAAGCTCACCAGGCCACACAAGGAGAGTGAGGCAGGGCAGGGCCGCCGGTTTATTTTCCACAGGAGGTAGCGGGTGGTGGCAGCAGAGGCACCTGCCCCAGCCGCCTCAGCTCTTGGAGTAACGCCTCTGCAGTGATTCTCGGTAGAAGCGGAAGACATGTTGTGAGGCAGCCTGGGCTGCAGCCAGGCACTGCTGGAGCTGGGAGGGAGAGGGGCTGGTCAGTGCTGAGGGCCAGCCCCACGCCACACTCAGCGGGGCTGCCCCTGGCCCCATTTGATTCTCAGGCCCACACTCCGTGAAGCCGGTGGGGAGGGGATTATTCCAAGTGCATTTGCTTCTTTCCCATTTCATGGGCTTTCTTAGAGGGGATAAGAGCCACAAGCGCTGTGACTCTAAATAATCTTGAAAGCCATGGCATCTGAGACCCCAAATCTTTACAGCCACACATTCCTAGATTCATGGAGGTCCAGGTTGGAAATGCTTTTGGAGACCATCTGACCCAAGAGTTTCCAAATTCTGTTGTAAGACCTGGAATTCAGGGAGTTGCATGGCTTTGCACTGAAAGCTGGGGGGCCTTGAGGTGCTCCCACCTCCTGATTTTAACGTGAGCTCTTTTCCTGACTCATAAACTGGGCTTCCCTTTAAAATTCCTAAAAGGTTTCTGTGCTACAAAGTCTGAAAATGCCTGCTCTTTACAGAAGAGATGTAAGGGGCTCTCCTTAAATATCTGAGCCCAGGGCAGAACTGAGACAAGACCTTGTGCCAGGGGGGAGGGAAGACCCTGGGGGCCACCCCCAGCTCCATGCTGGTACCTCAGCATCAGAGTAGAGACCCTTGGTGGTGGACATCAGCAGCTTCTGTTCCACACTGTCGAGTGCAAAGGTCAGGACTGCCCGGGCCTCCTAACGACAAGGGATAGAAGACCCTGGACTTAAGATATGACCTTGGCTGGTCCCAAAGAGGGGACTTTTTCACAGCTAGCACTTGCATATGAAGTGTAGCTGACGTAGGACCCCCTAATGCTCTCTTCCTCTCATAGAACTGTTCCCCACTTCATTCTGAGGGGGGCTTCCAAGTAGTTTTCCTGCCCTGTGGGGAAAGCCAGATTGCTGGTCATTACCCATCAACCTCTCAGCCCTCACCTTGTCCTGCCAGGGCTGGAAGCTGGCAAACTCTTTCCCAGACTCCCCTGCCACCTAAGTTCCACCGGTAGGAGACTGGGAGAAGGGAAAGCTGCATCCGGGTCTGTGCTCAACAGAAGCCAGGTACCTTTGCTGCACTCCGTACAGTAGCCATGGAGTTGGGGTGGGTTCTGGACTCCAGCAGCCAGGACAAAGCCAGGACATCTTCTGTGCATCTAGAACTGTGACAGCATCTCCACCAGCACAGAGCAGGAGCTGGCTAGAGGCTTCTAAGTCTTTGGGTAGCACCCCTTTTTCCTTTCTGCTCTTTCAGTTCTTCCAACACGGTTATAGCCAGTTCCTTGCATTAAATGCCTTCTGAAATACTCTGAGTGGTGTCTTTCCTGCCTGGCCATGACTGTTACAGTACTGAGCAAGTAACTCCGCATAACCAGGACCCTAGCACACTGAACTTGAGCCAGGGAGGAAAACCCTCTCCTCTTCTCTGCTTTTTTGATCCTCTTAAGAGGGAAGCATGGAGCTTTAGGGGCCAGTCACAGCCTCAGGGAAGATGCTGGCCAGAGAAGGGAGCTCATGTGCAAAGGGCAGGGACTGAGAGGCAAAGCAGCACACCCTGATGGTGTCTGAGGCCCTCGCTCCAGCTACACCTCTGTTCTGAGTTTGGTGCTCAAGGTCAGTACATTCCCTTTCTGCTTAAGTAGGTCTGAGTTGGGTTTCTAGCATTTGCCCTGAGAAGCAGAGCAGAGCTTGCCAACTGAGGCTGACATGGTTCCAGCCTGTCCTGGAGAAGTGAGGCAGTGTTTGTGGGTGACCTTCCATGGCCCTGGCCTTCAGACCTACCTTTTCTTGCTTGACTGTGGGGTCCAGCATGAGGGTCCCATCAGAGTCCAGGGCACAGGTGACCCCACAGAACAGGGCCCGCATAGGCAATCCTGCGTCGACCAGTGCCATGCAGGTGGCGTTCAGGCAACAGGCCAGGAGCTGGGTGCCACAGGGGGGGTTAAGAAGCATTTCTACTGTAGGGCTGGCCAGCAAGGCCTGCCCATGCCTCCATCCACCCTGCCAGCACTCGCGGTGGATTTCACTAATCAGTCACAAGCAGGCAGTGTCGCAGTGGTTCTGAGTGGCTCTGGGATCCACCTCTCAGTTGTGTGACCTCAAGCAAGGGACTTCCTTCCTCTGAGCCTCAACTGGCTCATGATACATATATGAACTGAAGCAGGTGCCAAGTGCCCTCAAGGACAACGGAGGGCAGAGGGCAGAAACCTTCCACGATCACGTGGGGAGGCAGCGACAGAGGCAGAGCAAGGCCCAGGGTCTGGAATCTAGCAGGTTACCACTACCCAGTGACAGACTGAGGAGCTATCGCCCTCAGGGAGCGCACGGTCCAGGGAGAAGGGTGCCTGTGGCAAGGTCCAAGGGGAGCACAGGCCTGGAGTCAGACAGCAGGCCCTGCCTCAGTTTCCTCATCTTTCCTTCCCAGGCCTAGCAGAGCAGGTAAGGGCCCAGCTTTACAGCCAGTCAGTACCCCCTCTGCCACTGCCCCTCCATATATCCCATGTGAAACGGGGTCACAACAGCCCTTCCCTCTTGCTGTCTGTGAAGTGCCTGCCCAACGCGGGGCCACGTACCAGCGAGGCCCTCTAGAAATGCCAGTCTCTGGTCCTCAGCCCCAGCCTCTCTCGCCCAACCACAGGGCTCTTTCTAGTTCAAGCTGCTGATCAACTGCTCTGCTGGCTCAGGGTTCCCCTGGCATTGAGCCTTAAATCCAAGTTCAGGGTCAGAGTGGTCAGTCGATGGTACAGGCTCTGCGGTCAGACAGGCCTGGGCTTATGTTCTGCCTCTGTTGCCTTCCACTTGTGTGACCCTGGGCAAGTGACTTCCCCTCTCTGAGCTTGTTCTCTTACCTGAAACATGCGGACACAAGAACACCCACCTGCCAGGGGCCTTGGGATCAAGTCCTGGCTCTGCTAATTACTTGCTGTGCCTTAGTTTCCTCATTTGGAACCCAGGGATTATAATGGCACCTGCTTCTTATGCTGTGAGGATTAAATGAGTTATTATGTGTAAGGTGCTCAAAACAGTGCCTGGCACAGAGCACGCACTCAAGCTGCGCTGGCTATTCTTCAACAAGTGGGTGCCTGTCGAGTGTGTGAAGGTCTTCTGGCTAGGATAGGATGTACACGTGGCCACCAGCAAGGGAGGCAATCAGGGACATTCTGGAGGACTTCCTGAGGAGACGGCCTGTGGGAAAGGATACCGAGCCAGCATCACTGACGACCTGCAGCACCACGGTGATGGAGGTGCGGGGGTGCAGTGCCCCCAGCACCACGGCTTCACACGTGTTCCGGATCAGCCGCTCCCGGCTCTTCTCAGCTACGCCTGGGGAAATCGGGGTGGGGTGGGGCTATCAGGCTCTTCCCCTCCATCGGCTCACCTTCCTCCATATGCCCACCCAGGCCCTCTGGAAAGGGCCTGCATTCTTAGCCCAGGCTGGTGCAGGACCCCGTATAGATGACAGAGGATCCCTGGTGGGGGGAGGCAGGGCCTGACCACCACCCACCACCCCTGCCCCCTCCAGCATCTCTCCTGGGAGAGGAAAATTGGGGGAGGCCATGCTGCTGCCCATTCCCACCCACGGTGACCCCAGGGGTGAGGCGGACAGAGGGGAAAAGGGCCAAAAAACAGGCCAGAGGAAAGAAGAGGAGATGGAGCCAGGCATGAAGAGGGAGGACAGGAAGACTGAGAGACTCAGAGGCAGAGAGTTGGAGAAAGAGCTAGAAATCGCTGAGGGGAGAATGGAGACTGGGATGGAGGTGAGGGAGAAGTAGGGCAAGAGGCCCCAGGGAGCAGGACATCTGGAGAGCCAGCTGGGCCCGATTACCAGGCAGCCCGATCTTCGGCCTCAGCATCACTTCCAGGGTGGCCTTGTTGAAGATCTCTTTGCTGACCTTCACCTCGGCTGGCCCGTACACGCCTGCCAGGACGGAAGTATCCCCTGGGGAGACAGTGTGTGAGGCCTCACCCGCATCTTCCCTGCCTCTGGGGCCCGATGCATGGCACCTACTAGTGTGGGCACTGAGGCGATGGCCAGGGCTCCCCATGAAATCCCCACCCCGCCCAGTGTTTGCTGGCAGTGGTTCTCCAAGCATTTGCTTCCCACTGCTGCCTCTGCTTCCCCATCAATAAAAGGGGGATAACAGTACCTCCTCCGTAGCATCAGAAGGATTAAGTAAGTTGTTCCATGTAAAACACTGAGACTGTGCTGAATGCACAACAGACTTTAGCTAATATTATTAACTTTAACAGGAAGTTCTTCTTGAGAGCTAACCTTCCTCCCTATTACTGTAGCTGGTCTCAACCTCTCCTTCCAAAGCCTCCCTCAGTCCAGCTCTCCTTCCTCAGGTTCTGCAGCAACGAGACCACCTGAGCAATGGATACATATCTGGGGCTGGGTCCTGACTCTTGCCTTCCCCTGAGTGGCTAGGAACGGGGACAGGGTGGGGTGAGGAGGTAAGACCTGGCAAATAAAAGCCTGGCTGCTAGTCCTGTCCACCGCCTCCTGCTCTGGAACCTTGGCTGACTTTGCTCACTTCTCTGGGTCTCAGTTTTCCCATCTACAAAATGAAGCGACTGGATGACCCAGCAGCTTCCAAATTTTTCTGATCATAACTCCCAATAAGAAGTGTATCTTACGATGGGATACAACAGTCATGCACATCTGTGTGTGTGTAAATGCAACAGACCTCACAGAACAGCTCTCAACATTACTGCTTTGACGAACTCTGGTATTTTTTACTTATTCCAGTTAAAAAGAACCACTAATGAAAAGCAGTGGTTGTCAACCACGGCTATATGCTGGAATCACCGGGGAGATTTAAAAGATATGGATGCCCAGGCCCCACCCGCAGGGAGCCTAACTTCACCGCTGGGGAGGGGCTCAGGCGCTGGGAGTGTCACAGCCCCAGTAGGCCTTTCTAGTGTGCAGCTGTGCATGAAGAAATGGCGCTGGAGTCAGCTTCAAAACGTTGGCTGGCCATCAGATCACCGCGGCGGTCACAAATGCAGAGGGACCAGCCTTCGTAGGTGTGCGGTGGAATCTGGGGCTCTGATTTCTTAAAAAACTCACCAGAGATTCTGAGGACACACTTATGAGGGCTCCCCTTGCTTTGGGATCTTGGGGCTCTGGGATTTTAGAACACGGGCGGGGCTAACTTTCTCAATACTTTCTAAGTCTAAGAAATGCCAGGCATCTGGATTTAGCAAGAGAGCTAAGCCTGGGGGAGGGTGGGGTAAGGTAACCAGGTTGGCACGTTTTACCTGGAGTTAGGGGTTGGGGAGGAGCTGCCCTGAAGGGGGAAATTACCCCCCAGAGTAAGTTCACACTAGACTCTTCATTCCTGTTTCTTAGATGAGCTGCCTGTGGTCAGCTGGGCAGAGACCACCTGGCTGATCCTTGACGCTCTGCAGCTCAACCCCTGGCTGCCTCCTGGGCTTCCCACGGATGCACCCCTCTCCGTGAGCACATCCCTGACTGATGCGTCAGGTGTGCCCTTCCCAAGCCCCTCTTCCTGCTGTTTGTTTGTAATATTTATCACTACCGGGCAAACACCAATTTTTGGTTCATTGCCCACTGCTCCTCAGCCCTGGGCTCTGGGTCCCAGCCACCGCCAAGTCCTCAGCACCCCACAAGGCCTGCACACAGGGAGCTCAGTAGATATTTCTCAGGCTGAATGGATTCATTCAGTGCATGCGCAATCCTTGTAGTGCCTCCCTGGGGCAGCCGGGGTCTGTGACCCCAGGCTCAGGGGCCCCTGCAGCTGCAGGACCACAAGCTCACCAGGCCACACAAGGAGAGTGAGGCAGGGCAGGGCCGCCGGTTTATTTTCCACAGGAGGTAGCGGGTGGTGGCAGCAGAGGCACCTGCCCCAGCCGCCTCAGCTCTTGGAGTAACGCCTCTGCAGTGATTCTCGGTAGAAGCGGAAGACATGTTGTGAGGCAGCCTGGGCTGCAGCCAGGCACTGCTGGAGCTGGGAGGGAGAGGGGCTGGTCAGTGCTGAGGGCCAGCCCCACGCCACACTCAGCGGGGCTGCCCCTGGCCCCATTTGATTCTCAGGCCCACACTCCGTGAAGCCGGTGGGGAGGGGATTATTCCAAGTGCATTTGCTTCTTTCCCATTTCATGGGCTTTCTTAGAGGGGATAAGAGCCACAAGCGCTGTGACTCTAAATAATCTTGAAAGCCATGGCATCTGAGACCCCAAATCTTTACAGCCACACATTCCTAGATTCATGGAGGTCCAGGTTGGAAATGCTTTTGGAGACCATCTGACCCAAGAGTTTCCAAATTCTGTTGTAAGACCTGGAATTCAGGGAGTTGCATGGCTTTGCACTGAAAGCTGGGGGGCCTTGAGGTGCTCCCACCTCCTGATTTTAACGTGAGCTCTTTTCCTGACTCATAAACTGGGCTTCCCTTTAAAATTCCTAAAAGGTTTCTGTGCTACAAAGTCTGAAAATGCCTGCTCTTTACAGAAGAGATGTAAGGGGCTCTCCTTAAATATCTGAGCCCAGGGCAGAACTGAGACAAGACCTTGTGCCAGGGGGGAGGGAAGACCCTGGGGGCCACCCCCAGCTCCATGCTGGTACCTCAGCATCAGAGTAGAGACCCTTGGTGGTGGACATCAGCAGCTTCTGTTCCACACTGTCGAGTGCAAAGGTCAGGACTGCCCGGGCCTCCTAACGACAAGGGATAGAAGACCCTGGACTTAAGATATGACCTTGGCTGGTCCCAAAGAGGGGACTTTTTCACAGCTAGCACTTGCATATGAAGTGTAGCTGACGTAGGACCCCCTAATGCTCTCTTCCTCTCATAGAACTGTTCCCCACTTCATTCTGAGGGGGGCTTCCAAGTAGTTTTCCTGCCCTGTGGGGAAAGCCAGATTGCTGGTCATTACCCATCAACCTCTCAGCCCTCACCTTGTCCTGCCAGGGCTGGAAGCTGGCAAACTCTTTCCCAGACTCCCCTGCCACCTAAGTTCCACCGGTAGGAGACTGGGAGAAGGGAAAGCTGCATCCGGGTCTGTGCTCAACAGAAGCCAGGTACCTTTGCTGCACTCCGTACAGTAGCCATGGAGTTGGGGTGGGTTCTGGACTCCAGCAGCCAGGACAAAGCCAGGACATCTTCTGTGCATCTAGAACTGCGACAGCATCTCCACCAGCACAGAGCAGGAGCTGGCTAGAGGCTTCTAAGTCTTTGGGTAGCACCCCTTTTTCCTTTCTGCTCTTTCAGTTCTTCCAACACGGTTATAGCCAGTTCCTTGCATTAAATGCCTTCTGAAATACTCTGAGTGGTGTCTTTCCTGCCTGGCCATGACTGTTACAGTACTGAGCAAGTAACTCCGCATAACCAGGACCCTAGCACACTGAACTTGAGCCAGGGAGGAAAACCCTCTCCTCTTCTCTGCTTTTTTGATCCTCTTAAGAGGGAAGCATGGAGCTTTAGGGGCCAGTCACAGCCTCAGGGAAGATGCTGGCCAGAGAAGGGAGCTCATGTGCAAAGGGCAGGGACTGAGAGGCAAAGCAGCACACCCTGATGGTGTCTGAGGCCCTCGCTCCAGCTACACCTCTGTTCTGAGTTTGGTGCTCAAGGTCAGTACATTCCCTTTCTGCTTAAGTAGGTCTGAGTTGGGTTTCTAGCATTTGCCCTGAGAAGCAGAGCAGAGCTTGCCAACTGAGGCTGACATGGTTCCAGCCTGTCCTGGAGAAGTGAGGCAGTGTTTGTGGGTGACCTTCCATGGCCCTGGCCTTCAGACCTACCTTTTCTTGCTTGACTGTGGGGTCCAGCATGAGGGTCCCATCAGAGTCCAGGGCACAGGTGACCCCACAGAACAGGGCCCGCATAGGCAATCCTGCGTCGACCAGTGCCATGCAGGTGGCGTTCAGGCAACAGGCCAGGAGCTGGGTGCCACAGGGGGGGTTAAGAAGCATTTCTACTGTAGGGCTGGCCAGCAAGGCCTGCCCATGCCTCCATCCACCCTGCCAGCACTCGCGGTGGATTTCACTAATCAGTCACAAGCAGGCAGTGTCGCAGTGGTTCTGAGTGGCTCTGGGATCCACCTCTCAGTTGTGTGACCTCAAGCAAGGGACTTCCTTCCTCTGAGCCTCAACTGGCTCATGATACATATATGAACTGAAGCAGGTGCCAAGTGCCCTCAAGGACAACGGAGGGCAGAGGGCAGAAACCTTCCACGATCACGTGGGGAGGCAGCGACAGAGGCAGAGCAAGGCCCAGGGTCTGGAATCTAGCAGGTTACCACTACCCAGTGACAGACTGAGGAGCTATCGCCCTCAGGGAGCGCACGGTCCAGGGAGAAGGGTGCCTGTGGCAAGGTCCAAGGGGAGCACAGGCCTGGAGTCAGACAGCAGGCCCTGCCTCAGTTTCCTCATCTTTCCTTCCCAGGCCTAGCAGAGCAGGTAAGGGCCCAGCTTTACAGCCAGTCAGTACCCCCTCTGCCACTGCCCCTCCATATATCCCATGTGAAACGGGGTCACAACAGCCCTTCCCTCTTGCTGTCTGTGAAGTGCCTGCCCAACGCGGGGCCACGTACCAGCGAGGCCCTCTAGAAATGCCAGTCTCTGGTCCTCAGCCCCAGCCTCTCTCGCCCAACCACAGGGCTCTTTCTAGTTCAAGCTGCTGATCAACTGCTCTGCTGGCTCAGGGTTCCCCTGGCATTGAGCCTTAAATCCAAGTTCAGGGTCAGAGTGGTCAGTCGATGGTACAGGCTCTGCGGTCAGACAGGCCTGGGCTTATGTTCTGCCTCTGTTGCCTTCCACTTGTGTGACCCTGGGCAAGTGACTTCCCCTCTCTGAGCTTGTTCTCTTACCTGAAACATGCGGACACAAGAACACCCACCTGCCAGGGGCCTTGGGATCAAGTCCTGGCTCTGCTAATTACTTGCTGTGCCTTAGTTTCCTCATTTGGAACCCAGGGATTATAATGGCACCTGCTTCTTATGCTGTGAGGATTAAATGAGTTATTATGTGTAAGGTGCTCAAAACAGTGCCTGGCACAGAGCACGCACTCAAGCTGCGCTGGCTATTCTTCAACAAGTGGGTGCCTGTCGAGTGTGTGAAGGTCTTCTGGCTAGGATAGGATGTACACGTGGCCACCAGCAAGGGAGGCAATCAGGGACATTCTGGAGGACTTCCTGAGGAGACGGCCTGTGGGAAAGGATACCGAGCCAGCATCACTGACGACCTGCAGCACCACGGTGATGGAGGTGCGGGGGTGCAGTGCCCCCAGCACCACGGCTTCACACGTGTTCCGGATCAGCCGCTCCCGGCTCTTCTCAGCTACGCCTGGGGAAATCGGGGTGGGGTGGGGCTATCAGGCTCTTCCCCTCCATCGGCTCACCTTCCTCCATATGCCCACCCAGGCCCTCTGGAAAGGGCCTGCATTCTTAGCCCAGGCTGGTGCAGGACCCCGTATAGATGACAGAGGATCCCTGGTGGGGGGAGGCAGGGCCTGACCACCACCCACCACCCCTGCCCCCTCCAGCATCTCTCCTGGGAGAGGAAAATTGGGGGAGGCCATGCTGCTGCCCATTCCCACCCACGGTGACCCCAGGGGTGAGGCGGACAGAGGGGAAAAGGGCCAAAAAACAGGCCAGAGGAAAGAAGAGGAGATGGAGCCAGGCATGAAGAGGGAGGACAGGAAGACTGAGAGACTCAGAGGCAGAGAGTTGGAGAAAGAGCTAGAAATCGCTGAGGGGAGAATGGAGACTGGGATGGAGGTGAGGGAGAAGTAGGGCAAGAGGCCCCAGGGAGCAGGACATCTGGAGAGCCAGCTGGGCCCGATTACCAGGCAGCCCGATCTTCGGCCTCAGCATCACTTCCAGGGTGGCCTTGTTGAAGATCTCTTTGCTGACCTTCACCTCGGCTGGCCCGTACACGCCTGCCAGGACGGAAGTATCCCCTGGGGAGACAGTGTGTGAGGCCTCACCCGCATCTTCCCTGCCTCTGGGGCCCGATGCATGGCACCTACTAGTGTGGGCACTGAGGCGATGGCCAGGGCTCCCCATGAAATCCCCACCCCGCCCAGTGTTTGCTGGCAGTGGTTCTCCAAGCATTTGCTTCCCACTGCTGCCTCTGCTTCCCCATCAATAAAAGGGGGATAACAGTACCTCCTCCGTAGCATCAGAAGGATTAAGTAAGTTGTTCCATGTAAAACACTGAGACTGTGCTGAATGCACAACAGACTTTAGCTAATATTATTAACTTTAACAGGAAGTTCTTCTTGAGAGCTAACCTTCCTCCCTATTACTGTAGCTGGTCTCAACCTCTCCTTCCAAAGCCTCCCTCAGTCCAGCTCTCCTTCCTCAGGTTCTGCAGCAACGAGACCACCTGAGCAATGGATACATATCTGGGGCTGGGTCCTGACTCTTGCCTTCCCCTGAGTGGCTAGGAACGGGGACAGGGTGGGGTGAGGAGGTAAGACCTGGCAAATAAAAGCCTGGCTGCTAGTCCTGTCCACCGCCTCCTGCTCTGGAACCTTGGCTGACTTTGCTCACTTCTCTGGGTCTCAGTTTTCCCATCTACAAAATGAAGCGACTGGATGACCCAGCAGCTTCCAAATTTTTCTGATCATAACTCCCAATAAGAAGTGTATCTTACGATGGGATACAACAGTCATGCACATCTGTGTGTGTGTAAATGCAACAGACCTCACAGAACAGCTCTCAACATTACTGCTTTGACGAACTCTGGTATTTTTTACTTATTCCAGTTAAAAAGAACCACTAATGAAAAGCAGTGGTTGTCAACCACGGCTATATGCTGGAATCACCGGGGAGATTTAAAAGATATGGATGCCCAGGCCCCACCCGCAGGGAGCCTAACTTCACCGCTGGGGAGGGGCTCAGGCGCTGGGAGTGTCACAGCCCCAGTAGGCCTTTCTAGTGTGCAGCTGTGCATGAAGAAATGGCGCTGGAGTCAGCTTCAAAACGTTGGCTGGCCATCAGATCACCGCGGCGGTCACAAATGCAGAGGGACCAGCCTTCGTAGGTGTGCGGTGGAATCTGGGGCTCTGATTTCTTAAAAAACTCACCAGAGATTCTGAGGACACACTTATGAGGGCTCCCCTTGCTTTGGGATCTTGGGGCTCTGGGATTTTAGAACACGGGCGGGGCTAACTTTCTCAATACTTTCTAAGTCTAAGAAATGCCAGGCATCTGGATTTAGCAAGAGAGCTAAGCCTGGGGGAGGGTGGGGTAAGGTAACCAGGTTGGCACGTTTTACCTGGAGTTAGGGGTTGGGGAGGAGCTGCCCTGAAGGGGGAAATTACCCCCCAGAGTAAGTTCACACTAGACTCTTCATTCCTGTTTCTTAGATGAGCTGCCTGTGGTCAGCTGGGCAGAGACCCTCCTTCCCTCCCTCCCCCTCCAGACCCGACTCCAGCTCCTCTCTGCAGCATTTCTCTCCTCTCTGCAACCACTTCACCTTCAACTCCCCACTCATCTGCTCCTCTCATCGCCACACCCAAAGAGCTTTCTCCATTCACTGCCTCTTCTCCCCACTGACCCCACCACTCCACCGGAGCAGCTCTTGACAGTGTCCCCGATAGCATTAGTCCGGACTGCCAACACACAGGTCTATTCCGTCCTCTCAGCAGCACCGGCGCAGTGGGTTGGCCCTCACAGCTCAGACACGTGCACCTCTGGACCCTGGGTCACTGCCCTCTCTTGGTTTCCCCCTGCCTCACTGGCTGTTTGTTCTCAGTGTCTTCTGCTAGCTCCTCACCAGTGAGAAGACCCAAGGCTTACTTAGTTCCTGGAATCTCTTCTCTTTTCCATCTACACTTACTTTCTGGCGTATTTCATTCACTCAGTAGCTTGAAAGACCATCTACAGCCAGAGGATTCCAAATTTAATGTCCACACTGGGTCTCTCTTCTGAATTCCAGACTTGTATGTCCCACTGCCCAGTCCACACCGCTTCTGCAATGTCTACCAGGCACGGCAAGCTTCACGGCCCAGACTTTCCTCCTCATCTCCTCCCAGCACAGCTGATAGGAAAAACCTTGCATTACCGGAGCCTGTCTCACACCCCCAAAACAAAGCGTCTGCAAATTTTGTTGGCTTTACCTTCAAAACACACCCGGAATCTCACCACCTTCACTGCTTCCACTCTGGTCTCAGCCACCTTTCCCTCATACCCTCCACAGTCAATACTGGAGCCAGAGATTTTCTGTTAAAATATATTCAGATCCTGTCCTCCCTCTGAGCAAAGCTTCCAGTGATTGCCTCCCCTTCAATGCTGTGCAGCCCTCCTCACCTTTCTAACCTCTTCCTTGCTCCAATCACTCATCTTCCAACTGTTCCCTAAACACACCACACAAGTTCTTCCTTCCGGGCCTCTGTCCCGCTGTTCCCAGGCTTGCTTTGCTTTTCCTCCTGATACCTTCGGAGTTTGCTTCCCTACTTTTAGGTCTTTATCCAACTACCACCATCACTGAGGTCTTTCCTGATCATCCTACTAAGACTAAGACGGCATCCCTCCAGGGCACACTCTCTTCCCCTTTCCTACTACATTTTTTCCCAGAGCATTTTAGGCTGTATTTCACGGAGTTATCTTCTGTCTCCCTGACTAGAATGTAAACTGTTAGGGCAGGGACTTGAAAAAAAAAAGCTTAATTTATGTATTCTTAGTGCCCGGAAGAAATACACATGTTCAGTGAAGGAATGAGTGAAAGGTTTTGTACCCAAGTGAGCATTTATCGGGGTGAGTCTTAGGCCTATCTCCAGAAGAATATTTACCTGGGTCAGGGAGTTGAGTCTCGTTTGAAAGGTATTTAACTAAGGGAAGGAGATTTTTTTTTTTTTACCCAATAGGTAAGACCTGCCCAAATCTTAGGAACATTTACTCATATAGAGAGATGTGTATCCCAGTCAAAAGGGTATTTACCCAATTGGTGGGGTGGAGATGGAACATCACCCTCAATCTGAAAAGTATTTACATGGATAGAAGATTTGCCGTAGTGTAGGGAATATTAAGCCAGGGGCGGTGATTTTCCAGTGTACGAAGTACTTATGCAAAAGTACAGGTTGTTGCCTAAGCCACGGTGTGTGTGTGGGAGGCGGAGGTGGGGGGGGGAGGGGTACCTAGTCAAGGTAGATATTTTACCCTAGTGTGGAATCTTCTCCTATTCTAGATACTCCTTCTTATGGTGTCTGTCCCGCTCCTATTCTGAAGAACATTTACCAGAGTGGAGATACCTTCTTCCTTCCAGTCGGAAGGGAGAGAGAAGCTGTCCCCTGGCGCATCCATCTAGGCAAGAACTCCATCAGCCCAGCAGGGCCATTTACCAGCTAGTATCAGGGGAGGTGGCACGCCTTATAACGGTACAGTGTAACCGCTCCTTAATACAAATACGACCTAGATGAACGAGGCCCGGGGTAGTATTTACCTGGGTCGAGTACCTACCTTGAAGGAAAGAGGCAGAGCCATCTGGCCGAGACAGCAAGTTCTGCTCGCAGGCAAAGTGCCGGAGACTGCAGCCGGGGGTCCGAGGGTCGGATTCTGTTCCAGACTCATTGCGGATCTTGGCGTCAGCCTGCATGGTCCCCCCGCACCGCACCAGAGCCCACGTGCAGCCAGGACTGCCGCTTCCGAGAAGAGGCGCGCGCCTGCGTACAGGCTGTGTATACAGTGCGCACGCGCCTAGAGCGAGGGTTGTGGGGACTCCGGGTTCAGCGCCCGCACGTGTCCCTGCGTTTACTAACAATCTGCCCCCACCCCTCCCGCTTCGCAAGTGCAAGAAAGCCATTGGAGAGTAGAGATGAGGGGGCGGGCCTTGGCCTGGGCTCGTGCTACCCGAGGCCCCCGGACCGTAAAATCCTGAGGCGCTGGCCAGGTTGCCTTATTCTTTGCCTGTTATAGAGATCACGATGAGGCGATCCGAATAATTTTGGGGAAGCTAGACTACTTTATCCACTCACCTATGTGTCCTAGAGACCGCAGGACTAGTAGCCGGTGGTTTCTTGAGAGGGTGGTGCTGGCATTTGAGTCAGGCACATGAAGGGGCAGCCCTCAGTCAACCCGCGGAGAGGGGCGGATCGCCGAGGGGTTGTTGGCCAAGATGGCGCTGGCGGCTGCGGTGGCCAAAATTTGGGGGCCGAGTCGGGGCTTGCGCCAGGCTGGCCTCCTGCTGCTGCGGTGGTCTGGGGCTCGGGGGCTGGCTAGATCTGTGAGTATCTGGAGACACCGCGGAGTTTTCCTCAAGGGGAAATAGCGATGTCAGCGCATCCTCAGAGTGCTGGGACTCCGCAGGGAGAGGAGGGGTGACCCAGAAGGGGCCGTGGCTGGCAGAGCCACTCGGAGAGGACACTCAGGGGGAGAAGTTCCACGTCCTGGGAGAGGAAAAGCGAGCATCTCCTTTGTGGGCCCTGAGGGAGGGAGACAACTTACTGGGGAGGGGAGGGGTGCTCGTGAGTTGCCACCCATCCCCAGGGGAGGCCTTTTCCCTCAGGGGTTGGAGAGTGAAACTGCCTTGGTTAGGGGGTAGTTTCTTCTCGGTAAAGACCCCCATCCATCATCCAGGAGAAAAGAGAGAAAAGTTCCCCGTTCCGGGGTTTTTATACTTTTCTGTGTATCTTTGGTCCTTTGCTACAATTCTGATTTTAAAATAAGTTGTGTAAAAAAGTCATTTGATCCCGTGTCCTCTGATCGAATGCCAGGCCAGGGAACTTCTCTATTTGGTCACTGTACAGAGGAGATGAACCGAAAATACTTGTTGAATTAATGAGGGGAGATGAGGGAGAGGGGTCTGGATAGGGCACTTTACACACATTTCTTGGAAACACTTGAGAAATGATCCGCTTGTCAAAAGGGTCAAAATCTCTTTAGGTTGATGCTGTTAACAGTGAGTAAGCTCACGCTGCAGAAATCTAGCTGGAAGCCTCTGTTTCGAGGGAGAGAAGAGGCTGGCTGCAGAATAGCTATGAATTAAAATTTCACAGGTAAGAGTAGTGGTTTGGGAATTGAGGTCTCAAGCTAGATCACGTGGGTTCACATCCTTAACCCGCTTCTTTCCAGCCGTGTACCCTTGGGCAAGGGGCTGCTTCTCTGGACCTCTCTGTACAGAGGAGCCCATGTTCTCCTCTGTAAAATGCTAATGGTGGCCTAATAGGGTTATGAAGAAACAAATATGTAAAGTGCTAAGAAGTGGACCTGGTGTTTGATAAGGGCAATAGGAATGCCGGCTGCTGTTGAAAGTGAGGGTGGAGGGCAGGGACAGAAAGTGACCGTGGAGATGGGGAGAGGAAAGGAGGTGACTTTGGGAGGGCCTGCCTTGCTGAGGGCCTTGAAGGAAAATCTGTCAAGGTCTAGTGGGGCTGAGTCTGACCCTCTGGTCCTAATCCATTAGCAAGGGAAAATAGAATCTGAGGGAGGAAGCTTCTGAGCAGGGCAGAGACAGAGGGTGAGGAGGATGGGCCTAAGAAGGGAGTCACCTGAGGCAGGTAATTGCAGAAGGGTTGTTAGATTAGAATGGGGATGGGGCAATCTCCTGCCATTAGGCTGTTTTGGGTACCTTTATTGGATCAGTAAGATCCTGCACAGCTGATCTCAGTCCCAAGAGTCCATTGGCTGGGCCTGTGAGGTGGGAGGTGGGCAGGACTGGGGCAAAAGTAGAGAAAAGTCATTTATGGCTGATTAGATCTGTTTTCTTCCTGGCCTGGTCTCCCTATTCCCCCTCCCTCTGGACTCCCCCCGTCTTCATTTTTTTTGGTGGGGGGACAGGGAATGGGAAGGAGGAGGATGTCTTTCAGAGTCCCTATTATTTTAGTTATATGTGCTTAGAGTCCCTGTTTTTTCTTCTCCACTTTTATTTCTGCCACTTGTTCTTTCTAAGATTGAAAGAGAGACTTTGAGTGGAGGTAAGGGTAGTGGCATTTAGTCAAAGATTTTAGACCAGGGACCGTCTACTAGAATATTTAGTGATGCTGGAAGTGGGCTATCTCTGCGCTGTCCCGCGCAGAAGCTGCTAACTACACGTGACTGTTGAGCACTGGCAAAGTGGTTAGTGTGACTGAAGGACTGAAGCTTTCGTTTTATTTCATTCTAATGAGTTCAGCCCCAAGTGGCTGGTGGCCATGATATTGGATGGAGCAGTTTTAGCTGGTCAAGGGGAGACTAGAGATAGTGCCTTGGGGGAAGGATGGGAGGCTGTGCCAACGTGACTGTTGAGCACTGGCAAAGTGGTTAGTGTGACTGAAGGACTGAAGCTTTCGTTTTATTTCATTCTAATGAGTTCAGCCCCAAGTGGCTGGTGGCCATGATATTGGATGGAGCAGTTTTAGCTGGTCAAGGGGAGACTAGAGATAGTGCCTTGGGGGAAGGATGGGAGGCTGTGCCCCGGCAGGCAGCTGGGTCCCTGTCTGCTGGCCCCTTTTGTCATGTGCCCTTGACCGAACATCCTCTTGCCCTGGGGGCGTTTGCCTGACTCCACCTCCCTTTCTCCCCCTGCTGCTCGCTGATGTTGTCAGGGAGGAGAGGAAGGAAACTCATTGTCAAGGAGTTCGGAGTTATTTTCTCAGCCACCACCCCAAGAAGCAAGTGGGACTTCGGCCAAGTCACTGCACTTCTCTGAGCTTAGCAAGGGGGAGTGACGAGAGGCCCTACCCCGTGGGAGTCCGGGAGCATCTAGAGCTGGGCCTGCATGAATTACCAGTGATGTTATTCTCCGACCCCAGGCCAGTGCGGGGGTGGTGGGGGTGAGGTGCTCTTGAGGCCTGTGCAGTGCCTCCTTGGATGAGCCCCTCCCACCTGGAGGCCTTTGTAGGGATGTGGTCTTTTAGGCTTGGCTGACAGGCCACTTCCTCAGAGAAACTTTCTGGACCCCCATTGCCAGACTCCCTCTTCAAAACGGGGTTACTAGTAGTACTTCAGTCAAACAGATGTGGTGAGGATTAAAGAAAATGGTTCTTAATGATGTGCTTACTTCACCTTCCATGCGCTCAGTAAGGCCTCAAGAAATGAGGGCTGCTGGGACAGTAAGATCTGCTGTGGCCATGACAGATGCAGGGGAAGGATGTCCTCCCTCGGGGCTTTCCGCCTTCAGTCCTGGGAGAGCACAGCGCTGCTCAAGTCCCCTGGCCTTCGAGGCCCAAGAAAGCCTGATTCAACTCTGCACTTCCCAGGTCTCCTGGAAAGGGAAGGGGCGGCCACCGATGAGGCCGCTGGCCATCCTGAGCTGGAAGCAGGGCCGGGACTCAGCTCTTTGCGCTGTGAGAGCAGAATGCCTCAAACCCCAGGAGAAAGTGGGTTTTGGCGGCCTTTCCTGTCTAGGGACAGGGGACTCAGTGGGTGAAGTGGAACCATTCACGAAGCCTTCCATGGCCGGAACCCACCTTTCTCTTCAGCGTCCCCAGGTAGGACTGGTCAGGCTTCATATGCCGACATCATCACTCATCAGCTTTGCGGCCTTGGACAAATCATGTAACCCCTGTGAATCTTGGGGCCACCTCTGTGTCACGAAAGTGTGACAGTCATGCCCACCTCACCTGGGCACTTTGTGGGTTTGGTGAGCACTGAGGCCCGGAGCTAGCTGTTGATGTTAATGGGCTGCAGCCTCATCTGGTGGCAGATAGACTATACTGGGCCCTACCCATGTCAGAGGGGTATCAATGTGCCATGACTGGTGTGGACACAGCTCCTGGACTTCTGGTTGCTTTTCCTGTGTGTTGTGCAGACCAGCAAACAACCAAAAGAGACCTTGAATGTCTGTGTGGCCTAGGACTAACTGTAGGTAATTGGGAGTGATCAAGGCACCCACTTTACTGGACACACACTACAAGAATGGGTGCAGCAGTTAGGGATGAAGTGGAAGGTGTGGTTTCCAGGGTGCCAGGCCCCTCTTTTGCCCCAGAGCCTTTTGCATTTGACGACCGACACGTCCTTCCCTCTGGCCTTTGCCTGGCTCATCCCTGTTTGTCCAGCACCTCAGCTTAACTCCTCTAGGGAGCTCTTCCTTTTCCTCCATCTGCTGCTGGTAGTGAAAGGTTCCTCTTAGAGGCAGCAGGGGCTTTATGCCCACCTCACCACCAGCCTGTGAAGTAGAAATTCTTACTGTTTCCACAACGGGACACAGGCTCAGGGAGACAGTCTCTGCGCAAGGTGACAGAGCTGGAAAGGGACAGAGCCTGGATTCAAACACAGGCAGTTTAGCTCTAGAGTCCACATCCCGCCCTGCCCTGTGGTTAACCACTACTTCCTGCCTCTGAGTTTGCCCCTCGTGGTCATTACCTAGTGTATTTGGTGTCTATCACCAATCTCTTCCTGTCATCTCCAGCCCTCTGTTCAGGGCCTGATGTGGACTAACTACCTGTTTGACAACATGTGTCAAATCCACTGGTGCGTCTGTTAGGTGCCAGGCACTGGGCCTAGTACTATCCATATATCACCTTGTTTAACTCTCCTGACAACCTGCAGGTGGGTACTCAGCCACTTAGTCACACAAGAAACTGAGGCTCAGGCACTTCAACTTACACAGCCAGGAGGCAGTGCTGCCCCGTTCTGTGCCCTTCCACCTTGGCATCGTGGAGAGTGATTCTGCAAGGGGCCACCCCAGTACCCTCTGGGTAGACCAGCCCCCCGAGTGGGCCCCTGTTTCCTGTGTGGTGGGAGAGGACATGGCTTCAGGGCTCTTTGTTAATCTGGATTGCCGCTGTCTTTACAAGTCACTGGCTACCAGGACAACATCCCCCACCACCAACAAAAAAAAAGTGGGTGGAGTCGCATCCTTTCTCTGCAGGCATTTTACACCACCTCTATAATGGAGCATTTTCTTAACATCAGTCACTGTGCTGAGCCCTTTGCAGGGCCCACTCCCAGAGCCAGCACATTGGAAATTACTGCAGCCTCTGGGCCCAGGAAAGACAGGGCAGGGCCGGGGCCCAACCCGAGTACAGGGAGTGCCAAGCTGTCCTGATAGCAGCTCTCCAGCCTCGGAGCCAATGGATCCCTGTGACCCTGTCCTCCTGACCGTAGCCTGCAGCCTGTGCACATCTCTGTGGGGTGTGCTGGGGCTGCCACCTTCTGGCACAGTCCCACCTGGTGCAGTCAACCCCTTCCCCGCCTCCTTTCCCCAACCCTCTTCCTAAGTGCCAGTTGCTTCCCTTTCCCCATTTCCTCACTTGCCTAGATTTTGTTTTTTTCCCTTCTACTAATTTTGAGCACCTAATACATCCCATGCCTGCACTGAGCCCTGTGTGTGTCTTAGGAACTTTTCATAATAGCCTTATGCATCCTTTCGACAGACAAGGAAATTCACAGACAAGATGTTTTGCAGAGGGCTGCTCAGTGAGCTGAGAGATTGACGCTCAGGTCACTTGGACTCCAAAGCTGGAGAATTTTAACTGCTCATTCATCCGTCCACTCAGTATTGCCTATTGTGTGCCTGCTGTGTAAACTGACCTGGATGTGCTGTTTGCCTTCCTGGAGCCTGTGATGTGTGTGGGAGTCAGACACGCGGCCACAGACTCCTCTGGGTGGACAGAAAGTTTTGGCCACGTGAGCACTCAGAAGGGGAGGTGCGACTGCAAGTTTGGCTACTTCCTTGCAAGCTGAGGGGGAGTTTCCCGTGATGTTGTCAGGCCTGGACCTGCCATTGGGAGGGTGATTTCCTTCATTTTCCCATAACCACAAACGCAGATAAACACAGATTTTCATGCTCTCCTGCTAGCACCTTGGATGGCTTCTTTGTGGCAATTAAAGGGGCGTGCACTTGAGCACGTGTGAGCTCCAGCTCATGGCAAACCCGGTCATTCTTTAGCTCCTATTGGAAGGGAAGCCACAGGTGCTGAGCTCAGAGGAACCTGGTGGCCAGTAGGAAGTAAGGGTGTAGAGGTATGGAAACCAGGCCAGCAGTGGCAGTGGGGGTCAAGAGCATGGGTCGGGGGTATGAGTATCAGCCCAGCCTGCTTTGGAGGCCCAGTTCTGGCTGACTGGTGTTTGACTCTGTGGCCTGGTTGCGCACTGTTTTGCCTCCCCGAACGTCAGTTTCCTCATCTGTGCAAGGGCAACAGTAAGCAATCTCTGCCTCACAGACATGCTGTGACGGCTCAGTGGGATTGTGCGTAAAGAGCTCCCCTGGCACCCAGCAAGCTTTTAATAAAGTGTCACAAGTGTTGCAACACTGAGCCCAGGTCAAACCTACTTGCTGAAGAACTGAGACATGGAAATGGCCCATGTGCTGTCGTGCCTGTAGGTTTCTCAAGGGCTTTCCCAGCCCAGCCTCCCCCAACCTAGGGCTCTGTGGTGCTGTCTGCAGGGGTCCTCTAGCCCCTCTGAGTTCCTTCGGGGTTCGGCAAGGGACCTGCCGTTCCTCACTTCGTGCCTTTCACAGGTTCTGTGGCCCCGGCCTCGGAGGCTCCCTCCCTGACTCGGCTCTCCAGTCCTCAGGGAAGCCTGGTTCACTATCTGCTCTGCCCTAGCCCCAGGGCTTCTCATGTGGGACTGTGTTCAGCAGCTGTCTTCCCTGCTGGGCAGCAGGAACAGGTGTCTTGCCTCTCTCAGGTCTCTAGCACAGGGCTGGGAACAAAGCAGGTGCTCAAATATTTGTTGACTGCGCCAGTCTGGGCTTGCCACAGGGGGTTAGGGCTGGAGTGGAGAGGGCGTGGAAGCATAGGGGGCAGTTTGCCCAGTGATAGGGGAGAAGCATTCTGGTAAAGGAATGAGAGCAGAGAGATGGCGGTAGAAATGATCATCAGTTTTTGAGTTTTTATTATACAACTTAGGAGTACTCTGCTAACCATTATATACACATGATCTCGTGAGGTGCTGTCCATCTTACAGATGAGAAAGGAGAGGCTGGTGGGGGGAAGTCACTTTCCCATGGTTACCCAGTAAGGGGGTTGAACCCTGGCAAGCTGACTCTTAAAAGCGCATGACTTCCACTGTTCTGGGTGGCCTCTCTGTGAGAACGTGGTCACTAAAGAGCCCATCTGGCTGGCTCCAGGGCCCCATGCCAGGGTCAGTGTGCCTGTGGTATCAGTGGAAAGTTGAGAAGGCCTGTCTGTGGCCAGATCGGGAGGCCTTGAAGGCTTTGAATGCCACAGGGAGAGGCTTGGGCCTCTCACAGTAATAGTGGCCACCAGTTCTTAAGCTGCCTGACACTATTGAGTCCTGTAATCTGTACAGCAACCCTCTGGGATCGGTGTCACTATTTTCACTGCAGTTTTGCAGATGAGCATCCGAGACACAAAGATGTTCTAATAACTTGCCTGAGGTCACATGTTGAGCAAGTGGCAAAGCTGGGGTTCAGACCCTGTGCACCAGGCCCTGGAGTTCACCGGAGCCCCAGTGGCTTAACTACCAGGCCATAGTGCCACCATGGGGTTGGGCTGGCGGAACCTCCACTGCTCCTGACCTGGTTCGTCCCCTCCACCAGCACCCCCAGAGGCAAGAGCAGCACTTTTCATCCCTGGATGACAAGCCCCAGTTCCCGGGGGCCTCAGCAGAGTTTATAGACAAGCTAGAATTCATCCAGCCCAATGTCATCTCTGGAATCCCCATCTACCGTGTCATGGACCGGCAGGGCCAGATCGTCAACCCCAGCGAGGATCCGCACGTAAGAGGCTGCCCTCGCCCCGGTGCCGCCCCTGCCCAGACCCCTTGCCCGTCTCCTCTCTGGTCCCAGCTGCCCCACATCTGTCTGTCTCCATCTGCAGCTGCCCCAGGAGAAGGTTCTCAAGTTGTACAAGACCATGACACTGCTCAACACCATGGACCGCATCCTGTATGAGTCCCAGCGCCAGGTGCGTGGGGCAGGCTGGGTGGGGGGGCAGGCTGGGATTATTTGAGGCTTCCCTACTTGTGTTTGGTAGGCAGTTCCCCAAAAGACAGTTCCCCAGGAGGGGAGGGTGGAATGGGGATCCTTTGCTTGGAGGTCCTCAGAGTTCCTGAGGTTTGCGTGGGGCTCTGTACAGGAAGGGTCCTGCTCAAGGGTGGAAGGATGTACCAGGTCACTACAAATAGCTCTTGTGTCTGGGGGCTTGGCTGTGCTGGGAGAGGGCAGGCAGGAGAGGACCTGGCATTCCTTCCTTGGGAGCTCACAGTCCTGGCACACAGGGACCCTCACTGCCTCTTGGAGTGCCCGTGTCACTTGGGCTGGGATCTGGGTTAGTATCAGCAGGCAGAAACCCAGTCAAATCAGTGTCAACAAAAGGGATTTATTGACTCAAATAACTTAAAGTCCAGAAGGTTCTGTTTCAGGAACAGCTGGATCCAGGGGTCTCCGAAGAGGTTATCAGACCTGTTTCTCTGTGTCTTTCTACTCTCCTTTGCCGTGGCTTCTTTGTTCTCAAGCAGTGGTGGTCTCTGGCAGCTGCAGGCTCATGGAGAGGTGGCAGGGGAGGGGCTCAGAGTGGGGCTCTGGGGCAGGACAGTACATTTGAGGTCCTCGTTCTGTTGCTTCCTAGCTTTGCGGCCCTGGGAAAGTGGCTGTGCTCTCAGGGCCTCAGTTTTCTCATCTGTACCTACTGTGTGGGGCTCTCTTGAGGACTGAGGGCGGCATATATAATGGTCTTAGGAACAGCAAAACTGGCCTTCAGCCAGCACACAGTGTTAGCTACTGATCGTGACCCTGCCAGCCTCGAGATTATTTTCCTTCTTACTTAGCAGTGGAAAGAGGATGTGTGCTGCATAATGTTCCAGCCAAAGGCTCAAGACTGGTGTTCATTGGCTGGGCCCCTCAGCTGCCTTGAGCCACCCCTGTGACTGACTGGCCAGGCGGGAGCCGCATGCTCAGCCCCAGGACCAAGGGAAAAGGGGAGTGGGGTCCGTCTCAGGGGGTGTGGACTGGGAGCGGGGCACAGGGGTTCCTGCTAGGAAAGGGGAGAATGTTGGGCGGGTGGGCCTCCGATGTCCACGGCACCTGCTGAGCAGGAGTGGGGTTCGGCTCAGGAGTCTGCATTTGTGTCAAGACCCTGGGTAGTCCGCTGTGGGCTATAGTGTGAGGCCCGCCGGCTTGCAGGACAGGACTGAGCTGACTCCCATCCACCGGAACACACGCATGAGTTTGGCAAGATAGGGCAGTGTCTCCACCCTGACCAGATCCAGTAGGGCCTTTCCGATTCCCCCTGCCTCCCACTCCCCCATAGCCTTGGCTCCCTCCCTGCCGCACCTCAGCACCAGGCCAGGCCAGGCCACTCCTCCCTCACTCCTCCACACGTGCCCGGGCTCCTTCCTGCCCTTGTGTTGGCTGGGCACACAGGGGCTGTGGAATCTGACAGACGGTCCCATCACAGCTGTGACTTTGGGCAGGTAATTTTTCTTGTCTTTGCCTGTTTCTTCAGTTTGTTAAAAAAACGGGTTAAAAAGACAATCTGCCCTGTAGAGTTGGGGTAGGAATTCTCCATTACCCAGCACTTAAAGCCAGTTGCCTTTGGCTGACACAGAGCAAGCTCTCAATAAGATCAGCTCATCTGCCAAAGTTTAGCCCGTGTCAGCTAGGATTATGTTCAGTTGTAAGTAGAAGGCCTTCCCCAACCCTCCCCCCTCCCACCCCAACACCAGTCCTAACAAAAATAAAAGCAGTAGTTGAAACAGATTAATAGTTTTTTCTCTTGCATGAGAGAAACCTGGAAACAGGTGATCTGGGGCTGCTATGGGGGCTCCACAGTGGCACTGGGTACCCAGCATTGGCTTCTAGCCTCAAGGGCTACTTGTAAACCAAATAGCTGCTGGAGCTCCCTCTATCACATCTCATTCCAGGCAGGAAGTAGAACGAAGGTGGAAGGTCAGACGTGGCATATCCCAGTGTTCTCTCCACACCTGCCTTTATGGAACTTTCTCGTAGTCCCATCCAGTAACACCTCACTCTGTTGGTCGCTCCTAGCTACAGGGGACACACAAATGTAGTCTTTAGTGTGGGTAGTTGCTGCCTGCAGCAGCATGGGATCTCTGTTAGCAAAGAGGACATGGGATAGGATACTGGGGAGGCAACCGGGAGCCTCTGCTGCCAGCTCAGCTCCTGTTTCTTCAGGGACCCATCTCAGGCTCCTCCCCATGCACCCTTGATAGCTCTGCCAGGCCCTTAGCACCCATCATCGGCCCACTCAGCACTGGGAAGTCAATTAACTTCTAATTGGCTCCCCGCTTAGAAGAAAGTTCATCTGGTTTCCCCACTGGGACAGAAAGCTAGGCCTGCAGAACATGGGATGGGGCAGAGGGGGGCCTGCAGGTGTTGGCCCAGGCTGTCTCACTGCATGTGGTCCTGGGAGCTCAGTTTTGTCTCTATGCCAGCAGTTTCCAATTATCTTCAGCCAAACTTCACCTCTTAGCCCCAGATCTACTTGGCTTCTTGCCCTGGATGTCCCACACCAAAGACAGCCTGTCCAAACCTGAGCTGGGCATTCTCCTCCCAGACTTCTTCCTTCCTGCCTTAGGCCATTTCTCAGTGAAGGGTGTGACCATCCACACATGTGCCCAAACTGGAAACCTGCCTCTCGCTATCACTCTCTCCCCTCTTACTCACTCTGTCCCTAGGTATTTAGTTAGAAATCTGACCTGCCCTGTGCCACGGTCAGGAGCCCAGACCTCCTATCTTTCTGCTTCACCATGTGGGTGAGTTGGCTTTCATCCTCTGCTTGCTGCCTCATGTTCACAAAGTGGCTGCCACAGGCCCAGGCTTACGGCATGTGCAAGGCAGAAAGAAGGCTGGCACCAGCTACAGTAGTTTTTTTATCAAGAAAGCAAAAGCAGACTTCCACCTAGGTCCCTGGCTAGAACTGTGTTCTGTGGTCCCTCTGGCTGTAAGGGAGGCTGGGAACCTGAATATTTGGCTATTCCAGGCTCTGGGATTAGGGGACTTGGAAGAAGGGAGTCAGCCTGGAACCCAGAGTAGCCAGGCAGCACAGTCTGCTGCTCCCTGGCACCTCCCTGGCACCGCTGACTCTCCTACTCAAGACCCTCCTACCTCCACTCCTCTCTCTGCCTCCCGCCACCACCAGGCCAGGCCACCGCCCCATCCCAACTGGCTCACTGCGTCTGCTCCCTCCATTTCCTACACAGCAGCCTGAGAGACGTTTCTAAAACACTGCTCCCCTGAGGAAGACTGTCAGTGGGCTCCCGCCATTCTCAGGGTACCGTCCAGCTATACCGTTGCCTGCCTTCTGGGCAGTGCCTAGCCTGCCTCATGTCTCTCCAGCCCTCCCCATCCCCCTCTGGCCTCATGGCTTTTATTGTTCTCTCCGCCTGGAAACCGCCACCTGCCCCCACCTCTGCTCAGCCCAGGCACTCGCCCTGCTGCCCTCCGTGCTGGGGCGGGCGCCTCCTTCGGCTTGCCACCACACACCCTGGCTGTAGCCAGTCTGGCAGCTCCTCTGTGTAGGCAAGAGCCGCAGTGTGGCCTGGTCCAGAGCTGGCCTGCAAGAAGCATCCATCGATAAATGGAGTCATTAGAGGTTGGTCAGTATTTGGATGGTCCTCTGCTGTTGCCCAGCATAACTGAGCCTGGGTTTCTGGACCCTCCTCCACCCCCAGGGCCGGATCTCCTTCTACATGACCAACTACGGCGAGGAGGGGACACACGTGGGCAGCGCGGCAGCCCTGGACAGCACAGACCTGGTGTTTGGCCAGTACCGGGAGGCAGGTATGTCTGCCCGTGGCCAGGCCTGGCAGAGCAGATGCCAGAGCCCTGGGTCTCTGGTCCCCAGCCAGGCGGGTCAGGCCCAATCCTTCCTGGTGTGAAGGGGAGGCCGGCTTTAGTTACCCCGTGTACTCTTCTAGGAGAGGCCTGGCGCCAAGGAGGCCCTTAGAGTTGGAGGAAGAACTTTCTGAGCAAGAAAGAGCCAAGCCAGGCGGTGCTGTGGTCAGGAGCCTCTGCTCCTGACTGCTTCATGCTCTGCTTGTTACCAGCTGTCAGATCTGGGGCAAGTCACTCCCCTCCTCTAGCCTCGGTTTCCTCACCCCCAGTGTAGAGAGCACGGTGGTATTGTCCCCCAACACTGAGGGCTGCTGGGAGCACGCGGTGAGGGCCAGCCTCTGGCTGCGCATGTACTGCTGGGCTCCTGCCCATACAGTGCAGGCCCTCCGGGCCTCTCTCCTGGTGCCGGACCCTTCAGGGGGCAGCAGCAGGTGGGGGTCCTGCCTAGTGTCTGAGTGAGTGAGTGGGAGGTTGGAGCTGGCCCAGGAGCTGTGTGTGAGGGTTCCAGAGTGGCTGTGGGAAGGGAACCACGCTGGGGAAGCAGGGCGAATCATGACCCTCCCTCTCTGGTGCTGCAGTGCAGGATCTTAGGCAGGTTGTTTAAGTGCTCCTTGCCTCAGTTTCCTCATCTGTAACGGAAGACGGTGAACCTCCCACGAAGGTTGTTGAGAGGATTCACTGGGCAGGTGACACACAGCCCTCAGCACAGGGCCTGGCATGGGGTCAGCTCTTGAGAGTTGGCTCTGTGACAGGGCCTTTCACAGGAGGCAGCAGCTCTTGGCCAGGCTGGCTGTCCAGAGCCCTCCCTGGCCAGCACGGTCTCCCAGGCTGCTCTTGTCCCATCCACTCCCCTCTTGCTGCATCAGATGCCCCACCCCCACGCACTTAGGAGGCAAGTGGCCTGTGATAGTCTGTGGTTGCGCAGCATTAGATGTCCCCGGACACTAGGTCATGAGCCAGGCCCCTGCTGGGTCAGCCTCCCACCTGTCCCAGTAAGGGGCCTCTGCTGAGGGCTCCAGGCAGGGCCAGTGAGAGCCCTGGTATCTCAGGCGTAGCTGGGTGCTCCACACGGGCTGCTCGGCTCCCTGCCACCTCTGCAGAGGCGAGGCCTCGCGCACCAGGGTCGCGGTTCTACCTGCTTCACCAGGGCAGCTGCAGAAGGGGGTCTGGCCCTGATGCGCAGCCCCTTGCCTTGCTCCCTCAGTCCCCCATGGAGTGGGGGCAGAACAAGGGTACGTGGAACAAGACTAGCGCTTGCTGAGCTCTTGAATGCCAGGCTGCTGCCGTCAGTGCTGGAAGCTCAGAGGCTCTGCCTCATTTCCGCTCGCAGCACAGCTGGGGCACCACTGGAGCAAAAGCAGGTTGGGACTCAGCTGCCTCCGGGAATGTCCCAGCAGCCGTGAGGCAGGCTCCCGGTCCCTGTCAGAGCCGGCTGGTAGGCAGCTGGGGTCAGAGAGGCACTGTCTTGGGACCCAGGCCTTGTGTCCCCGAGGGTGGGGTAGGAGTCCTCCCTGGAGTCAGCCCTGGCCCCTTACCACCTGGGGCTGTTTGGTATAAACCAAGGGATGTGTGTGGAGTGCTCACTGGCACTGGACAGGAAGTGATACTCAGAAATAGGAGTTTGAGAGGCAGCAAGTGTCCATCTAGAGCTGTAGCTCGCACTGGACCTGCGTTTCCTGGTGCAAGTCAGAGCCACCTGGGCGTGGGGCCTGTGCTTCTGTGTTTGTAGCATCCCCTGTGCCCCTGCCCAGTAACTCTTGTGGGTGGACCTCACACTCCACTGTGAGGAAGCCCGGGGCCAAGGTTTTGGGGCAGTAGCTCATGCCCTCCACAAGGCCCCCTTTCCTGCTTCAGCCCGAGCGCCTCCTCTTTTATCTTTTATGTACAGCCTGGCCATATTGTATGTGAATTCGTATTATGTCCATTGAAGGGCGTGACAGAAGATTCCTAATAAAGTTGTAGTAAACATGAATGTTGAAGTAGGTAAATAAAAGGTGAAGCCAGATGCCCTTCAACCCTAACTTAGATTTCCAGTGCGTAAGTCAAAGCTAATTGTCCCAGAGATACTAAACTGTGCTTTTGATAATGTCCCAATGAAGACACTCCTTTAGCTGATACACAGAAGTGCTGCCACCTCACTTTCTCAGCATCAGCCTTGAATGGTGAGTTTTACATCGTGCCAGCTCTCTACTCTGCCTCTGAATGGTTGTGTGCAGTGGAGCCAGTCAGGGTAGATCCCCTCCCTTGGTTTTATCATCTGTAAATGGGAGAACAATCCTCAGAGGGTTGTTGTAAGGCTCAATCAAGTTAATGTCTGAAAAGTGCTCAGAATAAAGGCGCCTTCCTGGCATGTAATATTATATTCAGATTTGTAGTTACTCAGGGAAGATGACTGTCCTGTGCACAAAATGTGACTGCCATAGAGTGTGACTCCCACTGCATTTGCACTTAAGGGAAGGGTTCTGCGGCAGAAGGATTTGGCATTGCCCCGCCCGCACCCCACCAGCGCCGCTCATTACTGCTCAGGCTCTCGGAGCTGCCCAGGACATCTCTGACCCCAGGCTTGCCCCTAAGGTGTGGGTGTGACCACTGTCCCCCTCTTCAGGTGGGACAGGGGGGGTTGTAGCTCACCCCAGGACCATCTCAACCCCCTCCTGCCCTCCAGCCTAGCAGGCAAGGCCCCTCCACCCAGTGCGGTTCCCTGCGATGGTGATTTGGGCGGCCACCGGAGATTTTACTTGAGGAAAGGGTTTTCCTGCCATGAACAGGTTTGAGTATTGCTTGTCTGGTGAGCTTGTGGCTCATACTTTCATTTGGTTCATATGATTATATTTTTTGAGTAATGAAATTTGTTAAAATGGAAATCAGGTAGTTTCTTAAAACAAAAAAAAGATTTTGCCCTCTTCTGAAAACCTGGGACCATCCGGCTTCCCTGGGGAGCAGTCAGTCGGTCTGAACAGAGGCCTCCCTGTTGGGACAGGCCTGTGCTTTCTGCCCTGCCCACCTGGTTCCTGGACCCTCCTGGGCCCCGGGAGCATCCAAGATCGCCCCCCACCTGCTCTAACCTAGCTCCTGTACCATTCAGAAAGGGACGTGGAAGCCCCTGATGGGCTGGCCTGCCTCTGGCCCCCACCAGGCCGACTGCTGCCCCCTCCCCACCAGGTGTGCTGATGTATCGGGACTACCCGCTGGAGCTGTTCATGGCCCAGTGCTACAGCAACGCGAGCGACCTGGGCAAGGGGCGCCAGATGCCCGTCCACTATGGCTGCAGGGAGCGCCACTTTGTCACCATCTCCTCTCCGCTGGCCACGCAGATCCCGCAGGGTGAGAACGCATGCCCTGGCCCTGTGCACGCGGACCTGCTTCACACCCCTGTGCAGGCCCCAGCCCTCCTCATCCCTTCTGGGGCTGCCTGGTTGGTGCCAGGGCCGGAGTGCTGGTCTGGGCTTCAGACTCTCAAGATGCCCCGTGCGGGAGCCCCTTCAGAGGCGGGCTCTGGTGGTGCCCTCGCTCAGGCAGGCTTGAGCCTCTGACCACATTCTTGACTCCCACACTTGTGCTCACCCTGTTTGTCTGCTTGCAAACATAGCCCACTGTGCGTGGCTGAGATGATACTGGATTCTTTGCCAAAGCCCACCTGCTAGGTAGTGAGAAGAACGTGGACTCAGATTGCGGATCCTGTGGCTCCAGAGCCCAGATTCTCAGCGCTGGTGCTGCTCAGCCTCAGTCCTCAGAGTCCAGCTCCCCTAAAGCTTCCTCTGGAAGCCCACTCGCTCCAAGCGGTTGGTGTGGCTTCTGTGAAGGTGACTGCCCAGCCAGCAGACCCACCAGAGGCCAGGCCTGCACCCACACAGCGTGGGGACCACGGGACCAGGCCTTCCTCTGGAGCCTGCAGCCCGGTTGAGGGTCAGTTGGGGCTACAGCTCTCTCTGCTCCCAGGCAGCCGAGATACAGGAGTTGATGTCGGGGGCTTAGCAGAGCACCCGGCTCTTCAGAGGGCCCCCGTCATGTCGGCGCCTAGCGCTCTGGGGATGTGGAGCAATTCTGCCTCCAACGTGGGAGGCAGGCAGGGCAGCTTTCTGGGAGGAGGTGGCATTTGTGCTCAAGGTAGGTAGGATTTACATAAGGCCAGCCCCTGGCCCTTACCTTGCATTCGGGTGACCAGACAAACCCCAGCTCTCTTGGTGCTGCTGCTGTCAGTGGGGAAGATGATCAGTAAACAAGGTGAAGGAGCAATGCCCGGAGCAGGTTGGGTCCCTGTGAGAGGGAGGGGGACTGAGGGGGCAGGTGGGGGCAGGCTTTGTGAAGGGACGTTTCACTACCGACCTTGAGATGGGGGAGGGACTCATGGGGATCCGGAGGCAGGTGTCTTGATGTGTGTGAGATGCAGGAAGCAGACCTGGGGGGCAGATGTGAAGTGTGGGGGTGTTGGAGAGAAGGCGGAGGCAGGGAGAGTGGGGTGCAGACTGGGGCTTGGCCTCTGTCGGGGGTGGGAGGTAGTGGCTGTGGTGGAATGCCTCACCTGGCTCACATTTTAACAGAGGTTCTGGCTGCCCGGAGGGCACCAGGTAGAGGGTGACCAGGCTGAGGTGAACGGCCTGTGGAGAAGGGGTCAGTTCTGGCTCAGTTTTGATGGTGTGGGTGTGGGGCATGACGGGATTAGGGGTCAGAGCCAGGCCTGAGCAATGAGTTGGAAGGATGGCGCTGCCACGAGCCGGAGGGAGGAGGTAGGGTGAGGCCGGGAGGGCAGGCCTGACCTTCGGCGGGGCGAGTGAGTGGAGAGCTGCCTGCCCACGCCCGCTCACGCCCTCACTCCGGCAGCGGTGGGGGCAGCCTATGCGGCCAAGCGGGCCGATGCCAACAGGGTGGTCATCTGTTACTTCGGTGAGGGGGCAGCCAGCGAGGGGGACGCCCACGCCGGCTTCAACTTCGCCGCCACCCTTGAGTGCCCCATCATCTTCTTCTGCCGGAACAATGGCTACGCCATCTCCACGCCCACCTCGGAGCAGTACCGCGGGGATGGCATCGGTAACCCTGTCCCCCGCAGCCCACCCTCCTCTGGTCTTTGCCTGGGGGCTGCTGGTTTGCTGTCCTCTCCTCCCCGCGCGCTCGTCGTCCTCGTCTGAGCCCTGGGCCTGCCCTCTCTGCCCCCACAGCGGCTCGAGGCCCTGGGTACGGCATCATGTCAATCCGAGTGGACGGCAACGATGTGTTTGCCGTGTACAACGCCACCAAGGAGGCCCGGCGGCGGGCCGTTGCAGAGAACCAGCCCTTCCTCATTGAGGCCATGACCTACAGGTGCTGCGTGCCCATCCGCCTGCAGCCCTCACAGCCACCAGCTTTCGCGTCTTCCCCCACGGATCACTGCCTCCAGAGTGTGGCCCTGCCACCCCGTCCTGCACCCCTTCCTTGCCTATTCCACCCCCGCCCCGCCCTCAGTCCCGCCCCTCCCCCGGCAGGATTGGGCACCACAGCACCAGCGACGACAGCTCGGCCTACCGCTCGGTGGACGAGGTCAGCTACTGGGACAGGCAGGACCACCCCATCTCCCGGCTGAGGCACTATCTGCAGGGCCGCGGCTGGTGGGACGACGAGCGGGAGAAGGCTTGGAGGAAGCAGTCCCGCAGGAAGGTGGGAGCCGACGCCCCGTGGGGGGTCCTGCTCTGGGGGCTGCCTCAGGGAGAGCCTGGCAGGATGGAGAGGCTGGGATCTGCGGGACAACCCGAGTGACATTGTTGAGCGTGGCCGTGCATGTGTGGCAGTCCCAGCCCGTCTTCCTGGCTCAGTGTTTGCCCCCTGCTCCCTCATATTTGCAGGGGGAGGCAGGGGACCACTTCAGAAGGTGGTCTGAAGGTTAGATGGCGTAATCTGCATGCAGGGTGGGTGTCCTGCTCGACCCTGGTGTCAGGCAGCATGGAGCATCCTGGCTCTGCCCCTAGTGGCCCATCTTGAGCACATCCCTTCTTTGTGCTTCTGGCTTCCTCATCTATGCTGCTTACCTGCCTGACAGGCTGAAACAGCTTCTCCCCTGAGGCCGGTGCCTGGTCCTAAAGGTGGATGTGCGGGGCTTGGGACGTGGGATGTCAGTCATCACCACTGTTAGGATGATCATGCCCACTGTCCAGGGGCACTGTCTGGGTGTCCACCCGGGTAGGAGTCAGGGTGCTGGGTGGGAGGCCAGCGCCCGCCCATCATCCCACGTCCACCAGGTGATGGAGGCCTTTGAGCAGGCGGAGCGGAAGCCAAAGCCCAGCCCCAGCCTGCTCTTCTCAGACGTGTATCAGGAGATGCCTGCCCAGCTCCGCAAGCAGCAGGAGTCCCTGGCCCGTCACCTCCAGACCTACGGCGAGCACTACCCCCTGGACCACTTTGAGAAGTGAGGCCTGCTCACCCCACACTGCTCAGACAGGCAGCCCCACTCTGGGGGCTGGAGGGAGCTGGCAGACACCACGCCCCTCCGCACCCAGCTCCTGCCAGCACCCTCAGGCCAGGCTATCCTCCCCATCCTTTTTCTCTAGGCTGTTATATCGGGCGCTCTGGGGGCCCCCTCTTCACCTGTTGTCACAGCGCCTTCCCCCAGGGCTGGGCAAGGGCTCCTGTGGGACTAGAGACCCCTCTGGGCTGGGGGTGGACAGGCAGTCAGCGTGTGGAACCTACTCCCAGGGAGAGGTGCTCAGCAGGTAGTGAATAAACTGTCTCTGCCTTTAGCTCAACCCCTTGTCTGTTAACTGCACTTCTGGATGTGGAAGGAGAGTCGCACGTGACTGGTTTGAGGCCCGTTCCCTGCTTCTCCACTTGAGTGAAGAAGGCCAAGGCCGTTCAGATATCTGCTTCCCCCGGAAGTTTGAGCAAGCTGGAAGGGCAGTGTCAGCGACAGGAAGTGGGGGCGCTCCAGAGATGGTCTCCTGCTCTCCCGTAGAACAGGACAAAGCTGATGTCCAGCAAGGTGACCAGGAGGCCATCGGAGCTGGCTCTGTCCAGTAAGGGTCAGGAGTGTGAAGGTCAGGGTGTGGCTAAACTCTGTAAGCTACTCGGGCCCCACAGGCACAAAGACAACTCCAGGCCTCAAAGTGGGGAATGCATATTTTTCAAAAACAAGAAGTAGAGAAGAATAGTCTGCTGCCTCCTGCTGCCCAGTCCCTTGGCCTGGGAGGGCGCAGGAGGGGCGCAGGCAGCCACAACTCTAGGACCTCCTCCCTCACACCAAGGCCTAGAAGGAGAGGCTGGTGAGGGGCAGGCACTGAGGCCCAGACTAGGCCTGCTCTCCCCCCGACATTCTGCACTGAGGCTCAGCACTGGGGCTGAGGGTCCCGCAAGTGTTTCCAGAGCCGAATGCTGTCCTGGGGGCTGAGGGGCCGCACCAGCAGCAGGTCCTGGAGGGTGCAGGGGTCAGCGGTGTGGTCTGCTGGCCAGGATGTGAAGAAGCCTTTGTGGGCTCTGGGCTCCAGGCCCAGGGCACGGACACACAGACCGGTGTAGACGTCATCAAAGGGGAAGGGTGCCACACGGGCTGCTGCCCGCAGCAGCCAGGGTGCTAGAGGCCCTGCAATAATGTAGCCACCCCCGCTTGCATAGGCTGGGTAGCCACCTTCATAGAAGGACCCAGGCACGTAGAAAGGTCCTCCATGCTTCCGGAGGGGCTTGGCTTCAGTAAAGACCTCACCCAGGTAGAGGCCTCGGGCCCAGCTGGGTGGCAGGGCCTGAAGGTGGTCCAACAGGGCATGGGTGCGCACGAAGGCATCATCCTGAGCCAGCAGGACAAAGTTCACACCCGGGCAGTGGCGGCCCAGCCAGGCCAGCAGCTGCAGGTCCTTGAGCGTCCGGTTGAAGGGGACGTCGAAGAAGTCCCAGAGCAGCAGGTCGTTGTGGCGGCGGCTCTCCCAGGCCACCAGGGAGCTTAGGTCAGGTCCTCCTTCCCCCACTGGGGACCCCAATAGGAAGAGCAGCCGGATTCCTGGAGCCGGACCGCCCCATGTCTCCCTCACGGCCTGTCGTTCCGCAAAGCGCCCTGGTTCTGACTTGACAGCCAACAGCAGGTAGGGGGCGTCGGTATCTGTGCAGCTGGCCACTTGGCCACTGCCACTTCCAGGCAGCCACTGTGGGAAGCTCCGGCAGGCTGCCGACAGCACGAAGCGGCGGAGGTCCTCAGGGTAGGTGGCGAAGTCCGGGATTTCAGTGGCGGCAGCATTCCCCCAAGCCCGGCAGTCCCCTGCCTCAGAGCTGTCCCCACTGGGCAGGGCCCCCAGCCGCCACTGCTGCTGGTTCCAGTAAGCAGAGGGCAGTGGGACAGTCTGGCCCAGGCGGGCTGAGAGGTTAGCTGGCAGGGTGGGCTCAGGGCTGGCTGGTGTGGGGCCTGGCAGGGTGCCTGGGGGCCCTGGGTAGGCCTTGCCAAGCCAAGCCTCGGATGTCCACTCGATGTACACTTTGAGGCCCAGGAGTGTGAGCAGCGCTGACAGGCAGAGAAGGCACTTGGGGCAGTGCATGACCCGGCCCAGGGGAGGGATGCTGCGGGAGCTGCAAAGGAGCCACAGAGGCCTTTGGGGTGAAGGGACAGGCCCCCACAGTTCCTTCCAGCCCCTGTAATGGCTTCTCCAAGTCCCAGACTGTAAACCCGCCCCAGCCAAAAGCACTGCTCTTCCCTACTGCTGGACTTCAGAACCGTTTTAGTTCTGTTCCAACACCCTGCCTGTCCACTGAGCCCAACCCTTCCACCTTCCTATTGCCCATCCCCCACCCCAGGGATTGGGGACTCTGCCATTCTGGCACCCCCTCCATTCATCCCGTCACCCAAAGCCAAGATCACAGGGGTCAGCTCCTTCCACCTTCACAGAAAGCCAGCCTTACTGGCCTTGCCAGCCCCACCCTAGGGGCCAGGGAACCAGGGACCTGCTGCTTCCTCTGTACCTGCACGTCCAGCTCCCGCCAGCTCCGCCTGGGCCTCCGGTGGGGCCTCCCTGACTCCCTTCTGTCCCGGTCCTGCGGTGGTTGTCCTGCACTGGTTGTCGTTGTTCTGCAGCCCAGCCTAACCAGTCCGGAGGGGCGGGGAGCGGGAGGCTGGGAGGACCCCAGGGGCCGGGAGGGGTCGGGGCGGGGCTGAGGAAGGCGGGAGGACGAGGCGGGGGAGGCCTGGAGGGCTCCGGCGGCGGCGGCGGCGTGTTGGGGCTGGTTTTCTGGTGAGACGTGGAAGGTGCCAACGGGACCCGGCCAGGCCCTGGAAGGAGAGAACCAGGGGCCTGGGAGAGTCCAGGGGAGGGGGAGGCTGAGGGCCAGGCCCGAGCTTGGGCCGGGTAGTGTTGGAGTGACCCAGGGACAGGCAGAGCCCCGAAGTGGCGAAGCTGGGAGGCCAGGGGCTGGCGCCTGGCCGCGCGGGGGCGGCGGTGACCGTGCGGAGGGAGTGGGTCTGCCCGGTCAGAGGTGGGAAGTGCGGTCGCTGCCCAGCGTCCTGGTGAGGGTGGGGAAGGGGGCTGGAGGGGGCGAGGCAGGCGGAGACAGACACTGTGGAGGAGCGAGAGCCTGGGAGACCTCGGGGGCAGGCAGGAGAGACCTGCGAGAGAGAGATAGTGGACGGGAAGTTGGAGGGAAGTGGAGACAGTGAGCCAGAGATAAGGGGTGGCCGGAAGCCCCTGTCAGGAGGGTAGAGCGAGGGTAAAGAGCAGGTGGTGGAGCGGGTGGGGGCAGAGAGGAGGGAGGCTGCGAACAGAGCCAGACCCAGGGAGCAGGGAGGAGCGCAGGGGACCAGAAGGAAGGGAATGTGGGTGAAGGGAGCCAAGCTAGGGGCAGTGGGGTGGGGGGCGGGCACCAGGAGCCCTCGGGCTGGGCTGACGCCCGCACCTCCACCATCCTCTTTGGTGCCTGGGCCGCCGGGGTGGGAATCCGTCCGCCCTGGGGTCCTGGCCCCGCCCGCAGCTGCACGGCGACTCCGGGAACACTCACATCCGCCCCCTAGGGACACGGGAGGGAGCCTGCTTGTGTTTACTTCCCGGTCCTCCAGAGACCTGCTGCTGGGGCTGCATCAGCTCTCTACGGAGGCTGGCAGGTGGGGCTTCCTCCTCCCAGACCTTCTCGAACCTGGGGTGGACCTAAGGGCCTCCCACTGAGCCTGGCCTGAACCCCACCACCACACCCCCTGTCGGATCATCTCAGGAACCCAGGGTGTCAATAGCACGGTTTTCTATCCAGCACTGATCTCCTCCCCTCAAAGTCTGAATAATGGAGCCTGTGGGACCAGCTTGAGGAAGAGAATACAGAGAGGTAGGGAACATTAATGGAATAAAAGCTAGAGTGGGAAACGACAGCCAGGGAAAATGACAGATCCCTCGAGGAGGTCTCCAAGCCCAGCCACCCCCACCCCCACTGGAGCTGGAAGAGGATGGGGTGTGTCAGGGCCCCTGAGCTCTCCTGGCTCATCCCAGGGCTACAGAGGTTCTTGGACCACGGGTGACACTGCCTCTCCTGGGGGCAGCTGGGAATGTCAGGGCACAGTTTTGGTTGCTGTGTGCATCAGGCAGGGTCCAGGCAGGAGAGAGAAACCACATGGCAACTGGAACAGGGAAAGTAAAATATGGAGAATAATTGAAGCACAAGAGGTGCCTCCTTGGGGACCATGGTTGGTGGTGGCTGTGCAGCTCAAATAGGACCAACTTTGTCCAACGTTCCTGCCCCCCTAAGCCCTGGACCCTCCTCTCAGATTGTGCCAGGGTAGTTATGGCTTCTCACCTCAGTAACCGTAGGCCGTTGTTGAGGCCGAGTTCCAGTTAGCCAACCGAGAAGGCTGTGAGACACCACCCCGTCCTCACCCTTGGCCACACTGGGTCATCTCCAGAATCTAGTTAAGTGCCCTCCACACAGTGGACTTGGCCAGGTGGTGTTATGTCCATCCTCGCTGCTCTAACCCAAGAACCCACTCCTGCACCCATGCCCTGGTGTCTGTCTACACACGTATTCGCAGGTGTTGTAGTTCTTTTAATGCGGGGGCTGATGGGCCACAGTGAGCACCTGTGCCCTGGAGCATGCTCAGATTTGACCCTTGGTATTTACAGGTCTTGTGAGAGCAGAGGGCGCTGGGGTGAATCTTAAGAGCAGATACACCCTTCCAAGGCATTTGCCCAGGTGACTCACCACAGGGGTTGCAAGCACAGGAAGGCTGCTGGTCTGAGATACTGGAAAGGGAGTCACAAGTGACTTGGGGGCTCCAGATTTCCTCTGGGTTCAGCTGGATGACCCCATTCCAGATTTCAGGGGCCCCACCCAGCCAGCGTCCTTTCACATGAGAAACCTGTCAAGACTGGGAATTCATCCTTTGTCACTTGGCAACCATGCAAACCTGTATTGTGCTGTATTTTCAGCGCTTTCAGCCCTGTGGCTGCAAGGAGTACAAACTTCGGGACTCTCAAGGAAGCTCTCCAGTTCTGAGGTGGTGACTCGACCTGTGTGAACAGACCCGAGCTTGTCACCATCTATTTGTAAGCATTTGAGGCCATGCCAAAGAATCTGTCCAGCCCCTACCCTTAGAGATGTCATTACTGCCACAGCCTTAAGTGCAGCAGCCATAGGGGAGCCCACAACCCACAGTGAGAGGTCAACAGATGTCAGCACATGCCATGGACTTCTAACATCCTGTTTCCCTTCATACTGTGCTCACGCCACAGGCAGGACCAAGCCAACCCCCAGATCCTGTCTTTGTGAGTATCCCCACAACACTTCAGGGGCCAATACTGTATCCATTTGGATCCAACCAGGAAGAGAAAACCACCGAGTAACTTCAACAGGTAGTTTAATATAAGAGTTAGCGACTTTAACTGCAAATTGAAATAATCAGAGGATTCACTGGGAAGGTTCCTCGGAATTTATGGGAAATCCACCTTTTGGGGCCCGGCAGAATCGCTCACAAGGAGGTGTCCCCCGGGAAGCGCTCCTCCTCTAGCTGCCCGCAGGGCAGGGGGGCACCGGGGCAGGAGCCTGCTGAGCGCGAGCACCTGTGGAGTGGGAAGCAGAGGCTTTCCTCCTCAGATGTCTCGCACGCCCTCTACTGGCAGCCCCATCATGCCAGTTAGCAAAGGAAACTGATTTCAAAGGCCCATGGCAATTTTCACAGAGCAAACAAAAATGTTGAATTTGGAGCAGAGCTAGTACACCTCTACGCGGGAACACCTTGGGACTTGGATGCTACTGGCATTTAGTGAGTGTGGGCCGAGGCCCCCACAGGGCAGAGCCCCTGTGTCAGTCTGGGTCCCAGTGGGAAATAGCACACTCAAGTGTCAAGAGTCCATTGTCACAGCAGTGGGCAAGGTGTAGGGAAACCACGAGGGGGCTCCTCCGGCGGCCCGTGCCTCCCCAGGCCTGAAGAGGCAGGAAGAAGTTACTGGCACTGGGAAGAGAGATACTGAGTGGAAGGGGCTGCCAGGAGTAGTGCCCCCCTGAGGTAGGCTGACGTCATGCTCCCCTTCCCTCGGACCTGCTGGTGGCACACCTCATCCAGCCCCACCCTCACCCTGCGTGAACCAACTGGAAGCCAGACTGCAGACACTGCACATAGCCCCACTGAGATCCAGCTTGATGGGGAACAGGCTGAAGGCTAGCTGGGGGTGGGGACGGGGCTGGCTGTGTTCCGAGACTGCTCCTCTGGCCCCAACTTGAGGCCCCGAGCCCAGTCAGCCCCCAGAACCTCACAGTTGGGCAGCATCTCCTCCACCAAGATCTGCATGAAGTCCAAGTTGGACACGGCAGGGAGGTCTGAGATGTCTAGCCTGTGCAGGTTCCTGGGAGAGGAAAAAGGGGAGGCTCACATAAGGGGGGGGAGGGTGGAGAGAGAGAGAGAGTGTGTGTGTGTGTATGTAACCATCTTCAGCTGTCCAACTACATAAAATTCACTGCTGATTACAGGTACCTCCGGCTCCTATTGCTCTGCAACAGTGTAAACATCATAGCATTTTCATTAAAACACACGGAAGAACTAGGAGACCTTTCATACTCCCAGAGTCCCTGTGGCTGCTCATCTGTGTGCACGCACATGCACAATCTGGGTCTGTCCTGCAGGCAGAGCTATGGGCGAGCCCACTGTGCCCCTCCCAGCTTCCCATGTCCATGCCTGTGGGGCCCTGAGGTCTCACCGGAGGTGGTGGAGGCAAGCGAGGCCCCGCTCGGAGATTCGGGGGCAGCCAGCCAGTGAGAGCTCCTGCAGTGAGTCAGCCAGCTGGTGGAGGCGGCTGAGACACCAGTCGTCTACATGGGGACAGCGCTGCAGCCACAGGGACCGGAGCCCCTTCAGGACCACTGTGGGCGCAAAGGCGGGTGGCGCTGAGGGCCCCTCTGGAGCCCACCTCAGGAGGGAAGGCACAGAGCCCTGCCCATCTCCAGCCCCCATCCACTCACAGATGTTGTCCAGGCCTTGGTAATTGATGACACATCTACTGGCATCAACGGCCTCCACAGGCACTGCCCGGAACTCCAGGAACTCGGGGGAGATGTGGCCTCGCCTGTCCGGCCGGGTCCACTCCTTACCCTGAAACCTGAAAGGGGAGCGAGGGCAAGTGGGCAGGGTGCCCTGCCCCACCCAGGCCTCCCACCTCCTGAGAATGCTCCCGGTCCCCAGAAAATAAAATGCTTGGACTGTCTGGGGCACTTACTCTACATCAGGCCCGAAACTAAGGGCCCCCTGACAATCCCATCAAAGATAGAATGTTCAGCCAATTTTACGAACCTGGAAGCTGAGGGCTGGAGGGATTACAATGAGAAAAGAAACTATAATACAAGAACCCTCAGACATGGGCAAAAGTTGAGACATCTGTACATGTGTACTATTTTCTATGGAAGGTGCTAGGAGATATGCTCAAACCAAATGTAAATTTCAATTAGAACCAAGATGAAGTCTACATGAACCATGTTTTCCCATAAAAAGGGGAAAAGAGGAGGAGGAACAAGGAAAGAAAACACGAACAGGGCCTGAGCTATGCCAGTGTGTAGATTTTGCAAAATGTGTTTGAATCTGTCCAGCAAACCCTGTAGGTTAGATATAACTACCATCCCATTTTACAGATGACAGAACAAGCTCAGGAATAAGTCCCAAGCCCCCAAGCCTGAAGAGGGCAGAGAGGGGGCTCATACGGAAGCCTGTCTGATGGATGAGCCCAGGGCTTAGATGCTCTGATCCCCCAGCCCTGTTCTGACGCTGCTGGTATCATACTTGACTGCACCTCCCTGCTTCAGGATGAAATAGGCGCTGGCGATGTAGGGGCCGTAGCGCTCCTTGATGTAGGTGAAGGATCTGCCAAGAGAACAGGGACCACAGGTGAGGCCTGGGAGCTGCTGAGGAGGTCAGAGTTCACTGCACCCAGACTGAGTCAGGCTGCAAATATTTACTGAGTGTCTACTAGGTGCTGGCCACTGTGGGACAGTGGTAGCTAAGCTAGCTGACCGGCCCTGTTCTTGTGAGGCTATTGTACAGCAAACCCAGGTAACAAACCAGGAAATGAAAGCAAAGAGCAGAGACTATCAACTCTGTGGTGGCAATCACAGGAGGACTGACTAGGAGTGGGTCGGGTAGGAATGGAAGAGACTAGTTTGGTTTGGGTGATAAGAAATGCTTCTTGGAGAAGGTGACACTTGGGCAGAGATCTGAATGGTGGGAAGAAACTTTAAAGTCATGGCAAGAGCCTACCAGGCTGAGGGGACAGCTAGTGCACAGGCTGGGGGGCTTGAATCAGGACGGCTGTACCAACAGTGATTAGGACGCCATGTTGGTGGGGAGAGGGGAGTCCCTGAGAGGGTCTCAAAGCTCGTAGGGGCCAGGTTTTAGGCCCAGGAATTTGGTTTTTATTCTAGTTGCAATCAGAAACCATCTGAGGATTTTAAACAAAGTGGTAATGTTCTCTATTTAATTTCAAGAATCTTATGTTCTCTATTAATTTCGAGTCCTTTGGCTCCTTTGTAGACTGTTCGAGACTGGAGGGGTTAAGGGTACCAGGTAGGAGATCACTGCACAAGATGGAGGAGTGTAGCCAGGCTACAAACAGTGGAGGAGGTGATAGTCTTAGTATTTTGTTGATGGACTGGATGTGGAGGGCAGAGAAGAATCAGGGATGACACCTTAGAATTTGGCCTTAACAACTGAGTGGGCAATGGTGTTATTCACTGGGATGGGGAAGGCTTGTGGGTGAACAGGCTGTTTTAGGAGGAAATCAAGGGTTTGCTGTTAGCCATCTTAGGTTTGAGGTACCAGCTGGACCTCTAAGAGGAGATGGTGGGGAGCAGGTTGCCCGTATGAGCTAGAGTCCTTGGGAAGGTGCAGGCTGGAGATGAAGATACAAGTTGGCATTGGAGGCCACCAGGCTGCCGGGGAGCAGTGGGGGCCAGACCTGAGCTCTGACTGGTGAAGCCTGAGCAGCGGGGTCTTGAGGGCCAGGGGTTCTCACCGGTTTTTCTGGTGCACCTTCAATGTCTGCCTTTGGAGCAGGTACTCCCTCAGAGCCTGTATGTCATAAAAGTGGTCAGCCAGGAACTGGAGCAGTGTTCTCCCCTTCTGCTGATTGCCTTCTGGGGCCACAGCTCTGCTCAGGCGGCGGCTGCCCTGGATACCCTTGTACCATATCGGGGTCACCACGTGCAGGAACTGGGGAGGAAGAGAGAAGAGGGGCTCACCCTGGATTCTCCTGAGAAAGGCAGATCCCCCTGTTCTTGCTGCTGCACAAATCTCCACTCTCTCATTGCTTCCTGGCTCATGAAATGCTCCTTGCAGAACTTCCACATTCTGCCTTTGGGATCCTCCCAGTTTCCCCATGTTCTTCCCCTTAATCGTATCTAATTTTTCCCAAATTCTCACCCTTATTTTTCTCCAAAACACAATTTTTCTCTCAACATCTCTATTATATGATCTCTTAATTTCCCACAACCCCCCCCCGCCTAATTTTATCCAATTCTCCAGGGAGTCTTCCTGAATAACTATGTCGTTCCTTAAAGTGTAATTTTCTTAATTTCTCTCCATACCATCCTTACCTTCTTAATGCTCCCAAACCCTTCCTTCAATTTCTCCCCAAAATTCATTCCTCGATTTTACACAATTCTTCCCAAATTCTCTCCACGAACATTGCAAACTCTCCCCTTAATTTCCCCCACCTCCTTCCCTTGGAACTCCCAAATTCACCTCTTGATTCCTGTCCCCAACCCCCATCACCCCTTTGGTCGTCCATCAAAATTCCAAACTCTCCCATGTTTTCCTCCCCGGTAGCCTGTATTTTTGGGTCTCCTACACTTTGTTCTCAAATACCAGTTTTCTGGCCAATCTCTTCCCAATCCTCTTCCCTTTCTGGTTCCATTCCCGCGGGCCCACCAACTCCCTCTGCACGCAGTCGGCTCCTTCCTTGTGATTGGCTGAATGTGCCATCTTCGGGACGCCCTCCTGCTTCCTCATTGGTTTCTATCCGCTAACTCCTCGCCCTGCTTCCTCTCCAGAGTTCCTCTGCTCTCTGTGACCCGCACCGACCCTTCTCGTTCCCCAGGAGCAGCTCTGCGCTCCGAGCCTGGGGCTGGGCGGGAGAGGCCTCCTGCTCCCTCTCTCTCTTTGCTCCATGAGCGCCGACACAGGCGCTGAAGGTGGAGGCAGCAGAGTCGACTTCAATTTTGGGGCCCTAGGCGGTCGAGCCACCTACCGCCTTGGGCGCCGCCATCTTGCAACAGTTACATAACCGGAAGGGGCCGGCCTTTTCTTGTCCCACCCCTTTGGTTCAGTCTAAGACTTTTATGGCCACGCCCCTTCGTTTTCCAGTCCTCCTCTTAAAGGTGCACGCACTGGGGGCTGCAGCCCTCCCACGGACCTTCAAATGAGACTAGCCACTTCCTAGGAGAGGGCGGGCGGTCCTTCCTGTTAGAGTACCTTCCCTTCCCTCTGAACTCAGTCGCTCTGAATTTCCCTGTTCCTCCAGCTGTCTCTCGCTACCTCCTTAAAAGAGGGAATGATGTGACCGAGAAACACTTCGTTTTTTAAACCAGGGCCAGGGAAGGGAAAAGTCGAATGGATGGTGAGGTTAGACTTCAGGGTAGGAGACAGGTGAGATCTCAGCACTGGTTTTGTGATATGTTTGCGATTTCACATTGGAGTTCAAGGCTAGAGCTCAGTGGGAAGATTCAGTGTGAAGATTGAGCGTGACGTCTGGTGGTATTCATTCGTTGGATAAATATTTACTGAGCACCTACCACATGGAGGCACTGTTCTGGATGCTGAGTTTACCACAGTGACCAGGACAGTCCAAGCTCCCCTCAGAAAGTCAACACTCCAGTCAGGGAGAGGATGGATAAGAAACAAATGACTAAGCAAGACAACTTCTGACAGTATTCGATGAGGCAAGTAACAACAGCAATATAATAGGGAGTGACTGGGGCACAGGGCCTTCAGCAAAGGCCTTTCTGAAGAGGTGGCATTTAAGTGGAGGTGAAGGATAAGAAGGAAACGGCCAGTACAGAGATTTGGAGGAAAAATGTTCCAGGCAGAGGTAAAGGCCAGTGCAAAGGCCCAGGGGTGGGAAGCAGCTAGCAGAGAGGTAGGAGACAGAGAGGTGGGCAGGAAGCTATTTATTCCATTCCCAGGGGTGTGCCATGATCTGACTTAGATTTGGTCTGTCGTCATTTCTGCCAGGTGGGGAGCAGACCTTAGAGAGTAAGGGCAGAAGCAGGGGGGGCCACTGCAATTAGTCCAGACAAGAGATGAATGGGGACGGCAGCAGGGGTGGGGCAATGGAAATGGTGAGAAGTGCTCAGATTATGCGTCTGTTTTGAAGGTCAATCCAATAGTTTGAGAAGCTAAAACAATAGTGATGCGGTTTGTGGAGATGAAGACACTGGAAAGGAGCAGGTTTGGAAGGGGAGACATGGTGGGCTGAATAGCACCTGCTCCCAAAGAGCCACATCCTGATCCCTGGAACCTGTGAATGTTACTGTATATGGCAAACGGAGGATGTGAGGAAGTTAGGGATCTTGGAATGGGGAAATTATCCTTGATAATTATGGTGGGCCCATTTAATCACAAGGGTCCTATTAGATGGAGGTGGGAGGGTCAGTCAGCAAGAGGGTCATAGGCGCAAGAGGTCGCAGTGATGAGCCAAGGAGTGCAGAAGTCTTTGGAAGCTGGGAAAGGCTAGGAAACAGATTCACCTGTAGAGCCTCCAGAAGGACCCAGCCCTGTGGACCCACTTTAGACTTCTGACCTCTAGAATTCTAAGAGAATATCTTTGTGTTGTTTTAAGCCACTACACTTGTCATTTGTTACAGCAGCAACAGGAAGCTAAAGCAGTGGGGTTAGTCCTGAGAACTCCGTAGTGGACATACTCCCCTGGAGATGCCTGTGATACCGGGCTGGAGATGCTGACTAGGCGTCTGGAGCACAGGAGAGAGGTCAGGAGTAGAGTCTCTGGAGGTGGATATTTGAATATATGATCTATAGACGGAGTTTGAACACCCTGGACTCTAGTGGAGGGAAGCCTGCATTGGCCCCAGCCCTGGATTCAGGGCAGAATCCAGGCTGATAAGTGGTAATATCTGTGGACAAGTCAAACATCAGCAGAATTGGCTGGCTGCTCAGCTGTGGGCCGGCAGCCTGGACATGTGGCACTCCAGTTGAGGGACTGTCCCTTGGAAGCCACCCCTGGCTCCTCAGGCACACTGGCTGGGAAGCCCAGGGTGGCCTGAGTGGAGAAGACAGGCAAGAGCCAAGCTGGGGCAAACCAGAGGTCAAATAGGGAGGGCAGTGGAGGAGGCCAAGGAGCGGCGGTGGGAGGGGCCCAGGAGAGGGCAGGAGGAGGTGGGGCCAGGCACCAGCAGACACCGAGCGCCCACCCGTGAGTGGTCAGGCTTGAGAAGAGGCCAGGGGACCCCGATGTGACCTCCCGCAGGGGAGCTGTGGCTGGGCCCTTGTAGGGGGAGGGGAGGGGAGGCTTTAGAAGGAAGAAAACGCACATGAGGTTGCTGATTCTCACTGGAGAATGGACTTTGGGAGGCTGTCCAGGCCCCCCCACCGGCCTTTACTCCCCCACCCCCTGCTCCGGGGGGACTGGGTCACTCTGGACCTTGCTACTTCCTGCTCCTGGCCGCCACTGCTGGGAGACGATGGAGCAGTGGAGGCAGCTGAGGCAGGCGGGACTGGTGCCCCCGGGACTGGGCCCACTGCCACGTGCCCTGAGGGGGGTCCCCCCAGTGGGAAGGGCTGGCCAGGCCCTCATGTCCTTGGGGGCAGACACTGGAGGTGCCAGGGGGAGTCTGCTGTGGATCTGGGAGGAGCTGGTGAGTGAGGCATTTGGCGGGACAGGAGCTGGGGGTGGGGATGTGAAGGAGTAAATGGAATAGAAAGAGCCAGAGATCTAAAGATAGAAATTGAGAGGCAGGAATAGAGAAATAAAAACATAAACAGAGAGAGAGAGACAAAAAGAGAAAGACAGGAATGAAAGAGACAGAGACAGAGAGACCCAGAAAGGGAGAGAGAGATGGAAAGAAGAGACTGGATGCAACAGAGACAGACTCCGGCTGAATCTGACACAGAGAGATGGAGACAAAGGCAGAGACAGAAAGACTGGGACATGGAAAGACAGAGACAGACAGACAAGGAAAGAGATAAAATAAGAAAGGGACTGAGAAACAGAGAGGTAGAGTCTGGGAGGGACAATGAAGTGGAGAGATAGAGACAGAGAGACAGAGATCAAGGGATGCTGGGAGAAGCAGGATGGCATTCAGGGTCCAGGGACACAGTGGGGGCCTCGCCCATGTGCTTCAAGCCAGGGCTGTTAAAAAAAAGATTATGGTACAATTAAAGATGGCAAGGTGGTAGGTGTAGGGACCACTGCGATAGGATTTTGTACTAGATGGGAGAGATTGGGTTCAAATATGTCACAAGCAAGTGGAATTTATAGCCAACGAGCAGGGGGTGGGGGGTCAGTGGATGGAAAATCACTAAGAGGAAACCTCAGGGGTGGTTGGGGGTCTGGCTAAACCGACCTAACAGGGTTCTTGCTGGAAGGAGGCCAGGGATGAGGAACCCACTGGATATGAGAGTGATTGGATACAGAGGAGGGGGATTGGGGCTGAAACTGGATTTTTCTAGGTGGTAAATGGGCCTAGGACATGGTTCAGGAGCCTAACTAAAGTTTGGTCAAGCAAAGAATCATTGTCAGGACTCGAGCTGGGACCTGCTGCCACCCAGGTTCGGGAGGGGGCACGCCGACCCCTTGCCTTCTGATGGGGTGCCTATGACTCCCCTTTCCCACCGGCAGGGGAACCTCCGCCAAGTGGACATCCAGCTGCTGGGCCAGCTGTGCCGCCTGGGGCTGGAGATGGGGACCCTGAGGGAGGAACTGGTCGCCTTACTGGAAGAGGAGGAGGAGAGCCTGGAGGAAGAGGAGGAGAAGCCTGAGAGGAAGCAGGAGGAAGGACACCAGGCCGCCTCCTGCCCAGCCCCATACCGCCACCTCCCCGACTTTGAAATGACGATCTGAGTGCCTGCCCTGATGCTTCCGAATGAGATGCAAATTTACACAAAGAGGAGGGGGCATTTGCAGGTGAAATCAACCTGTTAACAGTCGATTTGGAATTGCCCCGTATTCCCTGAGCAAGTGCTTTCTCTTTAGATGTCTGAGATGAGACTGAGGCGCTGGCCTGCGGGCTGTTGGCTGGTTTGCAGAGAGGCTGTAGGTATGTGTGCACACGAGCCGCAGCGAGGATGCAGGGGGATGCGGGTCTCTGCAAATAGGACGGGATGCTTGCAGATAAGGTTTTAGGTCAAGGCTGTCCATTATGGTCGCCGCTGGCCGCACATGGCTACTGAGTACATGTGGATCTTCTGAACTGAAGTGTGCCGTCAGTGTAACATACATGCCGAAGTTCCATGGCTTAGTTGATAAAAAGAATATAAAACATTTCAATAATCTTAAAAAGAATTATATGTTAAAATGAGAATATTTTGAGTATATTAGGATAATTAAACTATTACTAAAACTAATCTCACCTGTTCATTTAAAAAAATTTTGTGCTGATAAAATGTACCATTTTAATCATTCTTAAGTGTACCATCCAGGAGTGTTAAGCTCATTTGCATTTTTTGTGCAAACATTACCACCACCCATCTCCAGAACTCATTTCATTTTACAAAACTTGAAGCTGTACCTATTAAACAACCCCGTATTCCCTCCTCCGCAGCCCCTGGCAGCCCCAGTTTGCTTTGCATCTCGATGAATTTGCCTACTCAAGGGACCTCACATAAGGGGGATCATACAGTACAAGTCTTGTGTGGCTTAGTTCACTGAGCATAATGTGTTCAGGTTTCATTCATGGTGCAGCATGTGTCAGTCTTTCCTTCCCTTTGGGGCTGAATAATATTCCATTGCATGTGCCTACCACGTTTTGTTTACTTATTCATCTGTTGATGGACACGTGGGTTGTTTCCACCTTTTGGCTACTGTGAAGAACATTGCTATGAACAAGGTTGTACAAATACCTGTTTAAGTCCTGGCTCCAAGGCTTTGGGGCATATACACAGAAATGGAACTGCTGGATCTTATGGTAATTCTATACTTAGCTTTTTGAGGAACCTCTGAACTCTTTCCCAAGCAACTGGTACCATTTGACATTCCCACCAGCAATGCACAGGGGGTTCAATTTCTCCACTCTCTGCCAACACTTTTTTTCTGTTTTGTTTTCTTCCTTTTTTTCTCATCCTAATGATGTGACGTCATGTCTCATTGTGGTTTGATTTGCATTTCCCTAATGATTCATGATGTTGAGTATCTTTTCATGTGCTTATTCATCTGTTTGTTTTTACATTTTTAAACACGACTGCTAGAAAATGTAAAATGACACGTGTATTTTCCATAGTATTTCAATTGCACAGCACTATCTGAGACCTTTGAGAATGGAATGTGGGTTGAGCAGATGAGCAGTGAGGGTTTACAGCTGTTCTGGACGGGTAGCGACCGTGTCATAGCCCCCCTGCAGGAGAGGGGCAGGTGTGTGCAGGTGGCGGCCCAGGAGAAGCAGGGTGGCCAGGGTAGCTTGCCCGGGTCCACATCCGCAGAAGAGATGCCCGCGTCACCAGGTGGAGGGCCCCAGCCTGAGGAGGGCCACCTTCAGGGGGGTGGGGATCATTTGGACATTCTTAAAAGCCTTGCTCGCAGTGAGGACACACAGGCTTGCATTTTTGGAATTCTTCATGAAAACCCTTTCTAGGTGGGAGTGAGGATGTTGCTGCGGATGAAATGAGATGTTGGTGGAAGAGGTGCCGAAAGACTGTCTGTGGGGATTTCCGCCTTACAACCTGCTATTGCTTTTTGTCCAGGGGGTCCCCCAGCCTGGGGGTTTCGCAGCAGTGTGGGGGGTTCAGGCTCCATCCCCAAACTGGTCCTCTTTTGCCAGCCTTAGCCAGGTTTGCAGCCCCTGGGCACTCAGCTGTGGGGGCTGGCGAAATGTTGAATGTGAGACCCAGCACCCAGGAAAGAGCAGATACCCCAAGACATGCAAATGACAGAGTCTGTCCCCCTTCCCTTTCTTAGAAAGTGACTGGTGGCTGTCCCAGGTCTCTTGGCAACTACATTCAGGCTGCAGGAATCATGAGGGCTGAGGACTTGGGGCTCTTGGGGGAAAGTGGGGGCAGGTAGGCCCTGGGGGGGTGCTGGAAGGGTGACTTGGGAGGGGATGCTCACTGGGTGGGTGGCTCCCAATTTCTGGTGGGAGTTGCTCTGGGCCAAGGAGGTGACACTATGACACTATGGGGGAGACATCAAGGAGTTTGTGTGGATGTGGCCAGTGCCACTGCTACTGTCCTCGGCGCCACATTTACTGAGCTACTTCCAGCAGTGACCATGTCAGCACCAGGCCTGCCCTCCTGGAGCTCTCAGCCCAACAGAAGCAGGAGACCTCTTGCAAGATGGTCAGGGCCGGGATGGGAGCAGCCTGAGCAGAGGGGTCAGGGCCCATGTAAGGCAACAGACCCAGAAAGAGAATGGGAAGAGTATAACAAATGGAAAGACTACCTATGCAAAAGCCAGGCGATCATCTAGTGATCTAGCTCCTGCTACTCAAAGTGTGGTCCATGGACCAGCAGTATCAGCATTGCTACAGCTACTCACTACTGCATAACAAATAATTCCAAAACTCAAAATAAAACCCCCCAAACAACACCCATTTTGCTTATGAATTTGCAGGGACAGTTCATGTCCGCTTCTCAAAGAGCATCAGCTAGAATCATCTGAAGGCATATTCACTCACACGGCTGGCAGTTGACACTGGCTGTTGGCTGGGGCCTCTGCTCCCCTTCATGAGGTCTCTCCGTGTGGGCTAGACTGGGCCTTCACACAGCATGGGGGGTGCATTCCAAGGAGGGAGCCAAGCAGAAGCCATCTCCTCTTGTGTGGCCTACCCTCAGAAGCCATGTGGTCACTCTCGCCACATTCCATTTGCTGAGGCAATTGCAAAGTCCTGCCCACATTCAAGGGAAGGGGAAATGGGCTCCACCTCTTTAGGAGGCAGTGCAGGGTTCTGGAAGCCTGTGGAACAGGAAAAATTGCTCTGCTCATTTATGCAAAATGCAAACTTTCACAGCATCACCTGGAAGCTGGCAGGCCTGCTGAAGCTCAGATCCCTGCTGACCCAGAATCTGCATTTCAGAAGGTTCTCAGGGGCTTTCTTTCATAGTTGTTTTGAGAAGCTCTGTTCTGACTCATGATACAGCATTGTCTGGAGCAGGAGAGGACATGAGTTACATGTAGAAAGCTCCCTCCAGGTGCTGTGAGGAGGATGCAGTAGAGGTTTCTAATGCGGTGGTTGGGTACAAGCAGCTGAAGAAAAATAGAAATGAACTGGAATTCATCAAAACTTAACACTTTTGTGCATCAAACATACAGAAAGTGAAAAGATGATACACAGAATGAGATAAAATATTTACAAAAGTATATTTAATAAGGGTCTAGGGTCCAGAATATATGAACTCTTACAACTTAGCAATAAAAAGACAAATAGCCAAAAGGAACAACAAATGCTGGTGAGGATGTGGAAAAAGGGGAACCCTCCTACACTGTTGGTAGGAATATAAATTAATTCAGCCATTGTGGAAAGCAATATGGAGGTTCCTCAAAAAACTAAAAATAGAAAAACCATTTGACCCAGGAATTCCACTCCTAGGAATTCACCCAAAGAAAACAAGATCACAGATTCAAAAAGATATATGCACCTCTATGTTTACCGCAGCACTATTTATAATAGCCAAGATATGGAAGCAACCTAAGTGTCCATCAGCAGATGAATGGATAAAGAAGATGTGGTACATATACACAATGGAATATTATTCAGCCATAAGAAGAAAAGAAATCCTACTATTTGCAACAACATGGATGGAGCTAGAGGGTATTATGCTCAGTGAAATAAACCAGGTGAAGAAAGACAAGTACCAAATGATTTCCCTCATTTGTGGAGTATAACAACAAAGAAAAACTGAAGGAACAAAACAGCAGCAGACTCACAGACCCCCGAGAAAGGGACTAGCGGTTACCAAAGGGAAGGGGTGGGGGAGGGCAGATGGGGAGGGAGGGAGAAGGGGATTAAAGGGCATTATGATGAACACACATAATGTACGGGGGTGCATGGGGAAGGCAGTATAGCACAGAGAAGACAAGTAGTGACTCTGTGGCATCTTACTACACTGACGGACAGTGACTGCAATGGAGTATGTGGGGGGGACTTGATAATAGGGGTGAATGGAGTAACCACAGTGTTGCTCATGTGAAACCTTCATAAGATCGTATATAAATTATACCTTAACAAAAAAAGACAAATAGCCCATTAATAAATGGCTGAAGAATTTGAGTAGAAATTTTTGCAAAGAAGATAAGCATGTGGCCAATAAGCACATGCAAAGAAGCTCAACAGTCATTAGGGAAATGCACACTAAAGCCACAGTGAAATACACTGCACACCCCCTAGGATGGTTAATATCCAAAAAGGGAAAATGACAAGTGATGGTGAGGATGTGGACATTCTGGAACCCTGGTTTGTTGCTGGTGGGAATGTGAAACAGTGCAGCCACTTTTGGAAACGGTCTGTCAGTTTTTCAAAGACTTAAACATACTGTTTACTACAGGCCCCAGCAATTCCACTCTGAGGTATATGCCCAAGAGAAGTGAAAAGATACGAGCACACAGAATCTTGTACATGAATGTTCACAGCAGCATTGTTCACAATAGCCAAATAAGGGAAACAGCCCAAACATCTACGATTGATGAATAAACAAAATGCCATGTGTCCATGCAAGGTCATACAATATTATTCAGGCCCAAAAGGGAATGAAATATTGATGCCCATGATATTACAGATGAACCTGTAAGACATTATGCTACATGGAAGAAGCCAGACACAAAAAGACACATCTTTTACGCTTTTATGTATACAAAATATCCAGAATAGTTAAATAGAGAATGGAGATTAGAGGTTGCTGGGGGCTGGAGGAGGTGGGAAAGGGAAATGATGGTTTCATGGGAAAGATGTTTAATTTTGGGGGTGATGAAAATGTTCTGGAATTAGAATGTGATATTTACACAACGTTGTGAATATACTAGAAACCACTGAATGATACACTTTAAAAGTTGAATCCTATCTAAAAAATAAACTGTTGGTTGCGGGACCCAGGTGGGGCAGGGTGGGGCTCTAGGGAGGGGAGGGCCCTGAGGGAGGGGGGCTCAGAAAGCCCAGAGTCAGGCGGTGGGGGCCAATGGGCAGGGCTGCGGTGGGGAGGGGCACCGGCCTGGCCACTGGGGGACAGGGACACGGGCAAGGAGCGGCTTTGGGGGGAACCTCATGTGTGGTTCTGTGGCAACTTGACTTATTATGGAAGGAAGAATATAAAAGAACCCATTATTTTTCTTGTGGATTACATGTTGAAATTCAAATGTTTTGGACACGTTGAGCTAAATAAAATATACTATTGATATGATTTTCACATTTTTCTCAATATGGCTATTAGAAAAATTCTAAATTACATACTTGGCTAAGACTGTATTTCTGCGGGATGCACACCCGCTGTGGCGGAGTCCTTCCACCAGGTGGCGACAACACCAGCTGCTGCCGCTCCGCCCCCTGGAGAGGAGACTGGACCGCGCAAGGGTGGGACCCACCTTCCAGGCCCTTTGAAGAAGTTGGGTCCTATAGAACTTCACATGTACAGGGGTGCGTACACGTTCAGTTTGATAGATACTTCCAGAGGGTTTACAAAGCCCTGTACCAATTTACACTCCCACCGACTGTGTGACATTTCTAATTGCCATACATCTGGAGGCTTTTGTGCTTAGAGTAAATTTTAACATAAAAAAGTAAGTGTGTGTCTGTCTTTTCCCCGCCTGCATTTGTCTCCTTTGGCTGCTACAGAAAATCACCACAAACTTAGGACTGTAAACAGCACTGACTGCTCTTAACGGTTTTGGAAGTTGGAAGTCTAAGGTCAAGGGATTGGCAAGGCTGTGTTCTGGAGGCTTCAGGGGAGAAATGATTTCCTTACCTTTCCAACATCTAGAGCCACCCCAGTTCCCTGGCACGTGGCCCTGGGTCACAGCACTCATGCCTCTTGCTTCTGTGGCCACATCTCCCTCTGTCTCTCCCTCATAGGGACACTCGTGGTTCCACTTGGGGCCCACCCGCGTCTCCCATCATCATCTCTCTGCCTCGAGATCTTTTGTTTCA